AATATATTTTAAGAAAAGAAGGAAGGAAGGAAGAAAAGGAAGAAAGGAGGGAAGATGTCTTTTGCCATATTCTGGATTTTGTGGTGTCTATATGTAATTTCTGGTATTACTGCAGCCATCCTGTAACCATGAGAGCAGAGTAGAGAGATGGAAAAAAACTTGGGTTCTTGATTATATTGTTGAGCCATTAAATAAACCACTTCTGTGCCCACCTTACATTCAAACCTCCTGCAAATTGAAATAATAAATTATTCTTTTATTATTCTTTTAGTCAGTTTTAATCAGAGTTTTCTATTATTTGCTACTAAAGACATTGTAATGAATGATTCAAATTCATTTCTTAAGTCCACATTTTTAAAAAATCCTCACCGGAGGATATGTTTATTGATTTGAGAGAGAGAGGAAAAGAGAGAGAGAAAAATAGAGGAATAGAGAGAGAGAGAGATCAGTTGCCCCCTGTATGTGCCCCAATTGAATCCTCAACCTAGGTATGTGCCCTGACTGGTAATCGAACCCACAACCTTTTGATGTATGGGATAATGCTCCAACAAACTGAGCCACCCAGCCAGGGTGAACCTAGATTTTTCATTGAAGTTCTCATTTTTGGGTATAAATAGTCATTTCTATTTGGAATTCTAAATTAACCCTGATAAGTGGTCTGAGAGTCATAATATGTCAGCTATTTTATAAGTGACAAGGATAAAATTTTATAGATATAACCATTGTCACAACACAAATCTATTTTTCTGAAGGACAGTTTGATAGGGTCTCAGTGAACTGCAAAAAAAAAAAAAAAAAAGAAAAAAAAAAAATAGCACCCACAGTTATCAAGTGTCCCTGAGAGTCAACCACAAAGGAAGTTGGTTATTGGAAACAGTTATTTGCCTCCTATAGAGGATGTCTTCCTTAAGTATTCAGAGGACAGGTAATCCAGTTCAGTGCATTTCAGAATGCACTTATTGTCTGTGTTCTAAAGTGCATGTGGTGGGAGGGGTGCCATGTGGTGGGAGGGACACTCAGAAGAGCTGGCTATCGTGGAGGGTCCCTAAAGTTCTTACGTCCTGGGACAACTGTTGTTTTGTTTGTTTGTTTTTAAGGTCCTGCTTCTCTGGGACTTCAGAAAGCCTCTGTCGTATACCTGAAGTGAACTTCTGCTGCAGGATTTCTGTCTGATTGTGTGGTGAGCAATAGAGCTGTCATCTTCCTCAGGAGCATTTTCAAACTAGAAAGAGCTGATAACAGGCAAAAACAAACAAAAACAAACAAACAAACAAACAAACAAAAAAACAATACCCCAAAACAAAGAAATAAATGTTTGCGGTGGAACAATAGTAATTGAAACTAGTGAAGTTCTCAAGGTAAAGCAGAGAGAAGAAAAACTGGTGTGCACTCCCTGTCCAGAGAAATCGTGGGGTGTGTTGGAGCCAGAGATGCTGTTTGAGGATCAGCTCTGCCACTTACTGGTTTGGTGACTTTAGGAAAGTCTTTTAACTTCCAGAGTCTCTGTTTCTTCATCAGTAAAGTGAGCACGCTCCCTCTAGCCCACAAGGTTCTTGTGCTGATCAAAGGAGGTAATGGGTATGAAAGTGTTTATAAACTTCGAGGTTAACATGGTAATCTTTTTAAAAAATTTTTTTTATTGATTTTAGAGAAAGAGGAAGGGAGAAGGATAAAGATATAGAAATAGCAATGATGAGAGCAAATCACTGATCCATTTGCCTCCTGCATCCCTCCATCCCGCTCAACCCCCCCCACCCACCCCCGTCCCCCTTCTCAGGCCACCCATGGGATTGAGCCCAAAACCCAGACACGTGCTCTGACCAGGCATTGAACCTGTGACCTCTTGGGTCATGAGTGGATGCTCAGTCACTGCGTCACACTAGCTAGGCAATGGTAATCTCAATAAACAAGGTGTCTGGGAGATGAGAAGTAGGGAGAGTAACAGTGTTATAACCGAGTGCTGTGTCTGATTTCCATGTCTGCTTATGAAAAATAAACCTTTGCTTTCAACTAAAACATACACATTCATATACAAGGTGCGGCAAATGTAGGTTTATAGTTATGAGTACATGAAAGAGTTTATTCTTATATTATCATTATTTATTCTTATATTATTTTCCATACAAAAATAGTGTAAACCTACTTTTGCCCCACCCTATATATTTGAACATAAACTTTACAGGAATGTTTAAGAAGGACATGGGAACTCACAGGAATCCATAGCAACAAGAACTTTCTAAAAATAAATCTTTAATAATATATAGTAAAATAGCTGCCTATGTGCTATGTATTTTATCACTTAATTTTATTATTTTAATAAAATTTTATAAGATACATGATCTTATAGAACTGAGGATTTCATGGACCTTCATTGAGTATGCATGTGCAGTTTCACTGAAATTGTCTTATTAACACAGAAATGCACAAATGTCAGGAAAACTATGTTTTATTCATAAGCACTTTTCTTTTTTTTTGCTTAAAAATTCTATCAGTTAGATATACTCTTGAAAAATAACATTTGCTGGGAATATAATTCTATTCCAAGTAAGATGCAGTAATATAAAGTTAAAAACTTTAACAGCTAAGATGATGTTTAGTAATAAGGAAAGAACTTCAGGCTGTTTTTAAAAGATTAATTTGTTAATTAGGTGAACATCTGGGTTAGGTTCATCCCTTCCCTTGGAAACCTTGATTAATTTATGAGATTTTTTCATCCCCATTTACTAAAAAAGCAGTGAGTCACCCGGTGTCACACACCAATGACAGCAAAGTTAATTGGATTCTAGATCCTTTCACATTTTTCCCTTCAGCAATTCCTTGGTGCCTTGAGTGGAACCATGCGCTAAGAGAGTCTGTGTATTTGTGTGTGTGTGAGAGAGATACAGAAATGAGAGGAATTACAAGTGATTGAAAGTGAGTTTGAAAAAAAAAAAAAAGAATATGTATTTGAATTTCTTTTGGCTTGTAGTAAGAAACTCTGGAGGGATACACAAAGTAGCCAAACCAAAACCCCCAAACTAATAAAAACACTGCTCTTGGTGCATGCTTTTTATTTTTTTTATTTTTAAAAATATTTTTATTGATTTCAGAGAGGAAGGGAGAGGGGGAGAAAGAAACATTAATGATGAGAATCATTTATCGGCTGCCTCCTGCATGCCAGACACTGGGGATCAATAGAGCTTGCCGTCTGGACAGGTGCCCTGACCGGGAATTGAATCATGACCTCCTGGTTCATAGGGTGATATTCAACCACTGAGCTACACCAGCTGGGCTTGGTGCATGCTTTTTATAGGATTTTGACTTGTGAATCATGTGACTGTATTATTACATACCCAAGAATATGCTGCTTGAGATTGTCCATGGTTTAAAGTGTTCCAGAGTTGGGTCTAGAAAGGGGAACATGGAGAAGCAGCAGGGGCTTTTTGTAGTCAGTATCTGCCCTGGAAGTCTGAGAGGTAAGGGCCTGGGCAGGGAGGGGAGGGGATTCAGGACTGAGAAAGGAGGGGAGAGGTGGATGGACCTGGGTTAGTCGGGGACTGGGGAAGCCTACCAGCACTCTCCTATCCATGCAGTAGAATTGCAACCTTTGACTCTGGTAATTACACGTCACATCTGGCCTAGACATGCACCTTATATATGCTGTGAGATCTTAGTGGTATAAACTATACTCAAAGGGGAATTCACCATCCATTTTATTAATATTATTTCCACTTTCCCTTTTTCTTTATAAACTCTCAAATGTTCCTTTATCCTGTTTTCTTTTCCAACTTAGTATCTTTGGATATATTTTATCTTGCTACATTATGCATTAATTTCTTTTCTAATCAGATAAAATATGTTTTTACTAATTGGAGAAGAACGTATTGTATTTATGGTAGGACAGGCTTTTTCAGCAGAAATTATATAAGGGTGGTAGATAAAGCAGACTAGAAAGGGGTTGTGGAACTTAGTCTTAATTTTCTTTTTAACATGTACTTCTATGAAACTAGGGAAGGTACAGTGTTAATATAATGGAGAAACTTAGTCTTAATTTTCTTTTTAACATGTACTTCTATGAAACTAGGGAAGGTATAGTGTTAATATAGTGGAGAGAAATGCTATTCTTTTTACTTCTGTAAAAAATAATAGGGCATGAACACAGTTCAAAATCAGTTTAAATATAGTCATATTTCTTCTTCTCTCCTTCTTCTTCTTCTCCTTCTCCTTCTCCTTCTCCTTCTCCTCCTTCTCCTTCTCCTTCTTCTTCTTCTTCTTCTTTTTGTAATTGCAGTATGAACTATTGTATGGGTATAGTATCATTCACACTATTTAAAAATCCCCAATAGTTGGATATTTAGGTTGTTTCTACCTTTATTTGGGTGAAATAAAACCCTAAAGGATAGCACTGCCAGAACAGAGTGTTTGCAGCCAATGTGACTAAACACATTGAAGATATTAAATTTCATCTTCAAGACCTACAAGACTTAGATGACTATTCTGTTCCCATCCTGTGGGCCTCAGGGCACCTGGAACAGTTGGCTATTGCCACTCTGTATACCTGCTTGTCTCTAGGCCCCAGACCACCTTCTTCTCAATCTCTGCAACCCGATCCTTGGTTATCTAGTGCAGTTTGCCGCTCTGTTGACTAATGAGTTTGCTGACCACTGACCTAGACTCTCGGTTCTAATAATTACAGGCTGTTGTTCCTTGTGATTAAGCCCCTATCCCAGTGGTCGGCAAACCCATTAGTCAGCAGAGCGGCAAGCTGTGGCGGCTTGCGAGCCACAGTTTGCTGATCACTGATCTAATGGTTTTACCTGGTACATTTCATCTAGCAATCTTGCCTAGTGATGATTGTTACGTGAACCAGTTATTTCATTTGGGGTTTGTGGGATGATGTTATCTAATTCTGCCATTTGGCTTCTAATTTTTAAAAATGCAGCAACATACAAGGAAGGAAACCTTTCCCAGAATCAACAATTCAATGGAGTAAACATTTCAAGCCTGAAAAAAGATAGATGTGAGAGGGCAAGATGGTTATTTTAACAGTTCTCTGTAATTTACACTTAATTGCACATTGAGAAATAAGGATACAAAAACTAATTCTACTATCTGACTTTTATGTATTTTTTTTTACTCTACAAGACAAAGAATCAAAGCCATATAAAAGCAAAAAAAAAAAAAAAAAAAACACAAAAAAACAAACAAAAAAACCCCCCCCGCAAAAACCCAGAATAATTTATTTGAATCCAACTTTTCTTGAACAAAAATAAAAAATACTTTAATGAGTCATTTCCTTCAACCTTTTATGTCTTTTCAAAAACACCACTGGTGATTGACAACCTAGGAAAAGGCACAGTCTTGCTTCTGTGACAACCATCATTCTATGGTACAAAGAGCAAGAAGGAAGTTCGGGAATGGAATAAAAATACATAAATATAGCAATCTGAACAGTTATGAGAATTTAATAAGACAGAACATGCTAAATTTTTACATCTATAAAGTTTCCACATTTGTCAGTTCGATGTGACTGTCAGATTGGTGAAAGTGAAAGTATATAGGTTAGAACTAACTGTGCTTTTTAAAGAAGCTTGATACGAAAAGGCCAGTTGGAAAGTCCCAGGTTTTCCTTTCTGTCAGTCAGCACGGTGAAGACGATCCACGGAGGACCTTTCCCTTTCCCAGCCACGTTCCTCTGTAGCACAGTGCTCGGTGCATTCTGAGTATGCAGGGAAACCGGCAGACCAATTTTCATAAATGACTCTAGTCTGTGTTTAAAAGGATCAAGATGTATTGAGCTTGATTTCTTCACCGATTCCAGGTGCATATACATTTCCACTGTTTTTCCTCAAAACATTCCTTCATTATTTCAGTCTGGTGCACTGCTTACCTGTGAGTGCTCACCTGGCAAAGAGATGTTAACATATGTGACATATTTTATAGATTTCTAGTTCTAAAGGTAGAAGAACCTTATATCCTTTTATCTCTTTCCATAGCTGCAAATAATGTTTGGAACTAGTTCAAGAAAATTAAATTTATAAGCTAAAAAGTACGGAGTAAGTAATCACTAAATTCTGTAGATAGTTTATTTTTGAAACTAAAGATTTCCCTGCTTTGATGATTGGATCCAAATACTATGGTACATCTACACAATGGAATACTATGCTGCCATAAAAAGAAGGAATTCTCATCATTTGCAGCAACCTGGATGGAATTGGAGAACATCATGCTGAGTGAAATAAGCCAATCAATGAAAGAGAAACACCACATGACCTCACTCATTTGTGGATAATAAAGATCATTATAAACTGATGAACCAAAAGATAGATATAGAGACAGTAAACCAACAAGCAGATTGTCAAATTTCAGCGGGGAGGGGAGGAGGATCTGGGGGAGATAATAGATCAACTGAAGGACTTGTATACATGCATATAAGTACAACCAATGGACATAAAGCTCTGGAGAGGGAGGGGATGTGTGGGAGGGAGGGAGGGGGAAAAATCAATAAAATATGTAAAAATAAATAAATTAATTAATTAAATTAAAAAAAACAAAGAAACTAAAGATTTCCCTGCTTGAATGGCCTGTTTTTTGTAATATCCCAACAGCCATTCTTGGAGTCAATTAATGAAGTCAACAAACAGCATTTAAATAAATGCAGCCACAAGTTCAATGCACAAATAATTGGGCTGAGTTTTAGCATATGGACACAGGTCAACCTACCAGTTTGTTTAAACCCTGTCCAATTAGGTAATAAACACATGTAGTTTGAAAACAACACTGTGAGAAGAGCCAAAGAACAAAACTTTTTGGCTGTCTTTCCTATCTTAGAAGCAACTGTCAGAAGTAAAGGAAAGTAAGTTAGGACTTTTTTTTTTTTTTTTTTTTTTTTACCAAAGTTGGCATATTCACCTTGGGAACGAGGGGTGTGGGAGTTTCACTAACCACAGAAATACTGCATTATTCATGAAATTGATCTTTGCATTTAATTGGGCCTAGAGCATAAAACCACAGGCAATCAGGAGAGAAAAATGGTCTCTGTATGTTTAGGGCCATGTTTATTCTACTGAGGAATATTTATTCTACTAAGGATCACTAGTCCTTAGTTAAAATAAGCAAATAGGAACCCACTAAAGTAAGAAATCCTTACAAGACTGAGTCTCATTTAATCTCTACCCCTAGCACATAATTAACGTCCTGGAAATGTTTGTGGGTGGACTGTAAATAAGATAAGTGCAAAAAACAGTTTCTGATAGAATAAAAAGAAAATATCCTACCTGTTTATTTTTTAAAATGTAGAATAGTTACCATACATCTCTATTGGAGGAAAATAGCAATGTGAAACATGGTGGCTCCCCTCTAGAATGGGTTGGAAGAGAGACAGAGGAGGACAGTTTTAGAAGAGGTATCACAGAGAAGGGAGACAGCCTTACGGAGAAAGAAAGAAAAAGAGAAGGGCAGAGTCAGAGGGGCGACAAAGAATGGAGGTGAAGGAAGAGAGGTGCTGGAAGACAGACACACAGTGGGACAGGAGGACTCTGAGGGGGGGAGGTTGGTGAGAAGAGAGAGGCCGGAGATGGGGATGGGGGGGGGGGGCGGGGCATGAGGGCTGGGAAGGTAAGTTGGTGTTCCTGGGCGCCCTGGAGGAAGCGCATCCTCAGTCGCAGTTCGGAACAGCCCTTTTAAGTGCTTGAAAAGAGCATTTCTGCCTCCGAAGCTTATTTCTGAAATAAAGTTTTCTATTTCCAAAAAGTTGTAAAGATATTATTCATGTCTGAAAGCATTCTCATCCAAGCGGGAGATTTTTTTATTTGGAGATTAGTGTGGGTTTCCCCCCCGCCCCCCCACATGCAAAACCAACCTCATCATTTTGTGCTTCAGAAATTGCAGCTGCCATATTCCACAGTTTAAGATGGGAATTTATTTCATTATGGGGAGCCTTAAAAGACAAATCTCAAGCTTTCATTTGATTTGTTTGCATTCTAATTAGAACAATAGATAATGCAGAACAAAGGACATGGGGAAAAACAAATGAATTTAAGTAGGATAACATTTTTAATTGGATACAATCTGAAAATTAGGAAGCAGACAAACTCTCAACATTCTTTCTATTTCCTTATATTAAACAAAGAAAAGTATCTCTTAATTTTCTGATCCAGTTAGATATAATTTTAGAGAGTTGTTTTTTTCTTATTGTCATGGGATAATATTCCACTCTGTATATGAGATTAAAAGTATGCTTTAGTGCAGTTTTTAAACCAGAAGTTCCTCGCTGCATCAGGGTCTGCTCCTAAATTACTTGACTCCTGATAGATCTTTCCTTCCCCCAACTGGTGGGCGGAGTATGACGTAACAAGCAGCCGGGAAATACCTGAGTGACTAACCATGTACCTTATATGGACTAACCATGTGTATTTCCGGCTGCAGGTTATGTCATATGTCATACTCCGCCCACCAGTTGGGGGAAGGGAGGATCTATCAACTCCCTTTTCTCCAGGTTCCCTGGAACAAGAAGGAATGCACTGATGGGGTCCTTGGAGGTGCCACTTACTTAGTCCATAAATGACCACATAGCTCCCAGGACTGGGTCTCCTCCCTGCATGCTGATTTCCCATGCATCCATCCATTGCTAGCTCTTATTTTTCGTATTTACCCAGGGGTGTGCATGAATTGCTTCACTAGAACTGTGGTATTGTTATTTTTTGCCAGAGGGAAAGTTCCTGTGTGTGGTTATTGATGTTTCTTTTCAAAGTCAATAAATGACAAAGAAATGATGGAAGATGATTTGTGGCAGTTATGCCTGTAGGCAGCTAAAGACCACAAAAAAGGGAAGTTCGTTTCATTATTTCAAAAGGCTGTAGGTTTAGCTTCTCGGAGGCTGGGAAGGTTGGGGAATCATCAGTGCTACTCCTGAGGTTAACCGGGTAAGCAGTTTCCTGGCATTGCCCTCAGCGAAGGTTTTATCCTCTCGGTGGGAGGCCAGTCCTCACTGTGGTCCGGTTCACTCGGGAGTAGCCTGCGTCCAGTCTGTAAGAGGTTGGGTATTTGGGGGTGACAGTGTGGAGCACATGTTGTAGGTTATTTTGTGGTTGTTTTTCTGGTCCTATTCATAGGGACAGATCATCGGTTCTAAAAACCACCATAGTCACTGGAAAGTCATCAAGATAAGGTGGCTTGAGCACTGGCCTGAAGACACCTATCATACCCAGATGTGGATTCCTTGTGGGAAGTGCTGGATTCTAGATCTCCCTTTCCTCCACTGGCCCAAGTGCATGGCCCTAGAAGATAGTGAGTGTTTGCCTGTTTTGTTTAAGATTATTTTCAGGTGGGGAACTATGCACAGCAGCTATAATTTCCCATTTTAATATTTTCTGCTGAGACTTACAACAAATTCTGGGGAAAGCGGGGGCTGAATGCAGGGCCCCTCCAAGGTTCATACTTACTCTGGATGGTCTTGCTGTAAGGCAGGGATGTGTTGAATAACTTCATAAATGGTATTGTGAAAATCTTGCCCTGATACACCATCGGAGCCTGGAACAGACCTATTGGGCATCTAGAAAATGTAGCACATTAAAAAATAATTAGCAGACTAGCACATATTATTTCCACTCTGCTGCAAAGTTGCAAACAGCTGTAGTGATGAATAGAGAATTAGAACTATTTCTCTTCCCTACAACACTCAGTTCCTCCTTGCTATAGTCCCTTGCATATATCCTATGGTGTTTAGTGTAGCAGCATAACTATGAGGTCAGAGGAGGAATAGCTTGACAAAGCTATCATTTTAAGACAAAAGTTGTCAGTATTGTGAAGGAACTATAATAGAAAGAAAGAATGGCAAAATCAGAGAGCACATATTATTAACTATATAATAAAAGCCTATGCGACCATTATGGTGGAATGACTAGAACGACAGGTTACTATGATGCGCACTGACCACTAAGGGGCAGATGCTCAATGCAGGAGCTGCCCCCTGGTGGTCAGTGTGCTCCCACAGGGAGAGTGCTGCTCAGCCAGAAGCCAGGCTTGTAGCTGGTGAACACAGCAGCTGTGGTGGGAGCCTCTCCCGCCTCCACCTCTGCTGCAGCACTAAGGATCAGTGGACCCAGCGGTAAGGAGCATCGAGCAGACAGGCGAGGGATCCCGGACTGTGAGAGGGATGTCCACCTGCTAGCTTAGCAGACATCCTCCGAGGGGTCCCAGACTGCGAGAGGGCATAGGCCAAGCTGAGGGACCCCACCCCAACCTCAAGTGCATGAATATCATGCACCAGACTTCCAATCTTTTATATTACATCTTGATTAACTTTTTGAACCATTTAAGATAAAAGCCCTCATCACATTGCAAGTTAGTAAAGCCATTACCAAGAAATAAAGAACTCACAGGGGGAGATGTTTAAGTTTGAATGTTGTAAGGGGCTCTACAGACTAAAAGGCTTGGGTGAATGTGAAAGTATTGTAGTGTATTTCTGCCTAGTTAAAAACCAACATGTATTTGATTGAAATGAATTCATAACTTCTATACCTTGATTTAATAATTAAATTTTGTAAACACTGCCTTCCAGTTATAAAGTCTGGTTTCCCTTCATATTCCAAACTCCTCCTATTTGTCCCATTTGTGATAACTTTCTGTACCTCTACCTAGGACTCTTTTCAATTGATAAATCATCCGAAAGTTCTCTTATCCCAGCTTGGCTTGCTAGGTTATATTGGAACATCTTAGCTTTATGTTTTTCTGGAAACTGACTGTTTCCATTCCACTTGCTTGAAGCTGGCACGGGCAGCCCTAGAATATGTGATTTGTCATATTTTGTGTATGTGTGTGAAGGAGATTTTGGCTTACAGTTTGTACTTGAGATCCACTCTTGATTTTCTTTGGTATGGAGGTGTTCAGGGCCCATGGTAAGAGCAGTCTATAGATAATAACTAACTTAGCTAACCTAATATTAGTGCTGTTAACACATAATAAATTGGTCGATTTCATGCCATTGCTTCTTGTCCCACTTCTGAAAGAGGAGTTATAGGGACAGGGACATGTACAGCAAGTAGAGAGAGGAGAGCATTTCACTGCACACGTACCACTACCAGGTAGGAGGCAATTCCAATATATTTTTTTTAAACTCAAAAAGTTAGTAATTCAATGTATTTCCCTTAATTTCAATTTTCATATCTTGGTGTTATTTCTCCTTTTCTTCTCCAAGCCATTGCATTTTGCTGCTAATCTTCGCACACAATTGCCTTTCTGGCTTCTTCTCCTTCCTACATATGTTCTGGTCCTCACCCTTCTCCTCCGCCTGCCGTTGTTGCTTTGATTTCTCACTTCTTCAGGCACCTGGCACCAGTGAAGAACCTCAGCTGATTACTTAGGAGTTTCAGCTTTGAACATAGCTTCAAATAAAGATGGACATAGCTTCAAATAAAGTTATTCTACTTGTGACAGAAATAACTGGGGCTTCTGGTATGCAATGAAAGCACTCATTTGTCTCCTCAAGTTCTTGCCAATTGTATCATTTCCAGCAAATAGAAGTCCTCCCAATAAAATCTTCAAACTGAATGCTGATTAATTACAAGGCTAAACGTTAAGTTTCTTACTTTAGATCTCACTCTAATGAATTCCTAGGAATGAAAACTGCCTGTTTTAAAAGAAAGAAACTCTTAATTTCGAAAATTCAGCTCCAAGTCTTATCAGCTCTTCAGTTTTCTGCTCTTCCACGTAAAGGCCACTCCTATCCGAAGGGTTACTTTCTGCCATGGCGGGAGGCTGTTTGAAATCGCTGATCCACCAAATACTTATTTTTGCGTTTGCGGTTGTAGAAGTGAGAGGTGAGCCAATCTTGTCTGAGATCGACTAGGGTTTTGCAGAGCTTTTGCTATGCAGTCCCGCCCTTCCTCTGTGGTGATGTGGGCACGAGCACTACTCACCCACCTTTAGGAGGATGGGATCCAGTCAGTCCCCCCTCCACTACATGGTATTTGTGAAATAAAGTCTGTGGCCAGAAAACTTACTGGATGAACCTTACACTGATAGAATTCTCTGAACAAGTGAGGTAACCACCGTAAACAACAAATAGTGTTAGGCCACCCAGAAGCAAGCAGTCTGTTTATACCCCCTTCCTTAAGTGAAGGATCATAGGAGAATAAAGAAAGCCGAGAAAAGATTGACCCTACATAAATCTATACAGATGTCAATGAGCTGATAGCTCAGAAAAACATTCTGCATGCTGTGAAACAAAACCGATTTCTTAAAAAAAATCTTGCCTTTGATGGCTGGACAAAAAAGAAGAAGAAGAAAATAAAGGCTTCAACTGTATTAAAGTTCCCCCTCTCACATCTCAGGCACCTTTACGATAAAAATAAAGATGCCTACTTGCTTATTTTGAGTTTACATTGTGCCTTTCTTATGAAGAGCATAAGGTATTTTTCAAGGGTATGATCAGTCATCTTTGCAATGACCTCAAGGAATATGAGGGGGACGGGCAGGGGAAGCTGAGGGGGAGAGATAGATGAAGTGACAGGTTGCAGTCCATGCAGTGGTGCGGAATGATTCAACCAGGGTCTCCTGACTCCCGATGGATTCTGTTCTCTTGACCTTCTACCTAGTTATCTCTTGCCCATGGGCTTACCAGGCAAATAATGTTTATGGATCAGTGTCACTTCCTTTCTTGTGTCAGCCTTATTTATAAAGTCTAAGGAAGATGCTTAGCTCCTCAGATCCAGCCACAGTGAGCCATACTGCTGCCGGGGGGATGCAGCCATCTGACCTGCACTGCCCAGCGCTCAAAGGAGAGCGGCTGACACTTCTGCCCAAGCAGAATTCTACTTTTCAGCTAATCAGCCACTGGGGAAACCAACCCTGGGAACACCAGAAGCATCTGGGAAAGCCACAAATTCGTATATTCCGAAGTCATCCAGAGCATCTTCATGGCCTGAAACAGAAAACAAATACTACTTAAAAACCAGACGCCTCAACTTGCTGCTGTTGTTTAAGCCCTTGTAAAACTTATTTTTATTGTTTGCTTCAAGTGGTATGTGTAAGCAACCGATTTCCCCAGTCCCTATAGCCGTATGGATGCTGAGCAGCGTTGGAAATCACTCCTTCTGCAGCTGAGAACTGAAACTGAATTGGGACAAGTATTCTTAAAGCTTGATGTGGGAACAGCGTATTCTATATTCAAATAAACACGTGGGCTGACTTGTAGGTTACAGAGACTTACAGCCACCAAGGCTCAGTCTGGCAGTCGCTGCAGCTCTTCCTCCACTCATAATATCTATCTACTGCACCCCCTGGATCTAACAGAGACCACCAGAACTAATAAAATAAAAAGGTAACTGTAGCTGCCTATACATACAAAATAAAATACAGTATGATGTCAAGATCACTAAACTATCATCTAAAAAATGACAGGAATGGTGTGGTGAAGAGGAACCTGGGGCCTTTTTGAGGCCTTTCATAGCTCCAATATTCCGTCATCTGTGAGAAAGGACTAGATAAGAGGAGGAAGACCCATATTTACTAAGCATCCAGGCATCATATTACGCACGCCACTCACATGCTATTTAATTCTCAGAGCAATCCTGAAGGGAAGTTATTTTCTTTATTCTATAGATGAGGAAGTTGAGGTCAAGAAAAAGAATATTCCCAAGGTGATGCTGGGGGAAAGTGGCATTTATGGGAATAAAACCCAGCTCTGTGTGATTCCAAGTCCCATTGTTAACGATGAACAGCTCAGTAGGGAGTCAGTAGTGAGGACTGAGGACAAAGAAGCAGCAAACCTTGGAGCCTCAATTTCTTCTCCCTGGGATGGAGCCCCCAGCACTGTATCTGCCTTTGGAATTCACAAAGTGAGGGAACCCTGGGCAATTTTCAAAATAATAATAGGATCGGTGGAAATGGAATAGGATTCAGAACTCCTGGCAGTGGGCAAGTAACTTAATCTCTCTGAGCCTTGGTGCTCATGCCTGTAAAATGGAGTTGAGTGCCTTTCACTTTTAAGAGTGCTTGTCTTACAGACTTGTGCGACTTACTGTACATAAAATCAAGGAAATAGTCAAAGGTAAGGGACTGTTAGTATGACAACAGTATTAGCTTATGTGAATTCTATTAGTTCATTAGCACTTTATATATAATGATTCATATCAATACTATTCATTAATACACATTACATTGAGAATAACCCCTTTCAGCCTGGCCATTACCTGAAAATGTTCGTGCTTTTCTGTATTCGGTTTCTGGCCTGAAAAGACAAATTGATATTTCTGTCAGTCTTAACAACTGAGGAAAAAGCATCTAAGAAAAAAATTATTTTCATTGGAACATATACATTACCTTCCTTCTAGCTTCTGTTTTATAACTGAAACCAAGAGAGAAAAAACACAGTAAGATACTTTTTAGTACTTATAAATGCCATTTAGAATGTTTTTCTAATTTTCACCTACCTTTGTAGGGTTGATATTTTTTCCATAAAAGAAGAAGACACATGGATATAATCAAAAAGAGTGATATTCCAGTTATACTTGCTAAAGGGGACAATGACTTTCCTTTTTGTGCAAGCTTCTCTAGTCCTAAATGAAAGGAAAATACAGTTTTAATATTTTTTATTGAAGGTCAATAATAAATTTGACTTGTTCATGTTTCATCTTAAATAAGACACTACTGAATATTTATGTGAAAGAGAATATTAATGAGAGATGAAATGAGAGGAATGCACTTATTTTAGAATATGCAGTATTCTAAAGGACATTTCCAATCACTCTGAGGACATGCATGATTGGAAATGTGGTGAGTTGCCCACAATAATACTGATAAGTTGTACTACATATATCAAATAGCCAATGTCATACTTTTTTTTTATGTCATAATTTTCAATAGCATTTGCCACCATGATCCCGTGTGTACAACATCCCCAGAAGCTAAGTTGTTCTCTCTCTCCTTCCATTTCACTCTTTCAATATGGCTTGGGTATGTGAATTTTCTAGGGAGGTGGTATCTGATTAAATGTGTGAAAGGGGAGGTGTTTATTTTAAAGGCACTTTATTAAATTTTGACCAATAAATAAATTTAATTCCTAAAATAGAATGTATATATGATTATTAAAATATTTAAAGTCCCTCTTTATGACTAAAATTCCCTTTTTTTGCAAGTCATTCCTTCCATTAGCATTCCTATATAAAATATAGCGCTAATAGTTAACATCTGCCTACTGCTTACAATATGTCAAGCTCTCTTCTAAGAATACATGAAACACTGAGCCACTGAATATTTATACTAATCTTATTAGGGGGATATTATTATTATTATTATTATTATCCTCTCTTACAGATGAGGAAACTGAGACTTCCTCAAGGTGACTCAGTAAGTGGCAGAGTCAGAGGAGGTTCCAGGCTCTTGACATGTTTGCTGCCTCACTTTGATGTTATTTTAACATAACTTACTAACCTGGGTAATGTTAACATTAGTTCCAGACTATCATAGAGTTTATCTATAAAGTGGGGAGTAGTTGTGACTTCCAACAAATGGCAGTAACATGTGTCTTTCATTTTATCAGGTGATTGAGATATTGATATGGAAATGAGTCATGGAAGTTGCCTGTCTCTGTCCAGGTTAATGGGGAGTGAAAGTCATGGAATGTCACTTCTATTCCACAGGGGTGTTAACAGCCTGGAGAATGTGAGTGTGGCCACTTGGCTCAGCAATAAATATCCAGCCTGCACTCTCATCTTTCAACATAAAACCTCTGCTGAGGTCTCCAACAGCTGAGATAAGGAGGAAACCTTAATCTTTCTCTTTTTTCACTGTGGAACTATATACACTCTCTTGGCTTTCCACTTAAACACTTTCACTTTTCACCTTCTCAGAATCCTAATATATAAAAAGCCAGGGGCCGTCACAATTGAAACAACAGGACAGACTACTGAACAGCTGGCTGTGTGGGGCAACCAGGTCAGCAGGGGTTTAGTGAGAGACAACCAAACAACTGATCAGCAGGCTGTGTGGGGTGACCACACTGGCAGGGGGGGCAGTTGAGAGCAACCAGGCTGGCTGGGGGGGGGGATAGTTGGGGGAGACCAGGTTGGCAGGGGGGAAGTTGGGGGTGACCAGGCAACCAGGGGGAGCAGTTGGGGGTGACCAGGCTGGCAGGAGGGACAGTTTGGGGCAATCAGGTCAGCAAGCAGAGGCTGTTAGGGGTGATCAGGCTGGCAAGGGGGGCAGTTAGGGGTGATCAGGCAGGGAGGCAGGTGAGCAATTAGGAGTCAGCTGTCTAAAATGGCAGTCGGACATCCCCTAAGGCAGGCGTCTTCAAACTTTTTAAAGTGGGGGCCAGATCACGGTCCCTCAGAGAGCTGGAGGGCCGGACTATATGAACTACTAATTCCTACTGTAACACCTTGGCTGCGCTCACTGCCCAAAAAACCTGGCGGGCCGGATCAGACTCCTCTGCGGGCCGCATGTGGCCCGCGAGCCGTAGTTTGAAGACGCCTGCAGGGGTCCTGGATTGAAGAGGACAACATGTGTACAACATCTGGGCTGAGGGTGCTCCCCCACCCCCCATGCATGAATTTCATGCACCGGGCCTCTAGACTTTTTATAATGTGGTATAGATCATATATGTCAAACTCTAGTTAAAAAGTCATAGAAATCATTCTATCTTTTCTAATTTTCCCATACTGTGCTGATCATATATGCTCTTTAAGTCTTTAAGAGTTAAGCAGGTTGTTTTTCATTATTAAAGTCTTTACCATCTCAGATGAAAAGTTTATAAATTTTTTATATGCATTCAGAGAATTGTGCTTTTAAAATGTTCTTTTTATGGGATGACAATACTTGTGTAACATTCTTGCCTTTAAACAGATTTTAATTAAGCTCTTTTTGACTCTGGGTGGAAGAAATGAATGCAAGTGGTTTAGGTTAGAGCATCGTCCTGATATGCCAAGGTTGCAGAGTCAATCCCTGGTCAGGATCCAACCAATGAGTGGATAAGTAAGTGAAACAACAAATCAATGTTTTTCTCTCTCTCCCTTTCTCTCTAAAATCAATCAATAAAAATCTTTAAAAAGTGAACAGAATGGTAATTTATTGATTCTAGATCAGTCTAGAACATCATAAAACTTATGGGGATTATCTGTTCTACTTGTTAATAATTCATAGAACACTTTACATGCTCCCACTGTTAGAAAGTTGAATTTGGAACTACTTTAGCACTTGGGTGACCTCTTTGTGAAGTCTCAGCCTTTCTTCAGACTGCCCTCCTACCTTACAGGTTTGTTCTCTTGAAAGAGCTGGGCAACTTTGGCTGAAGCCACTTGACTCTGAAGGTCTGGATTTCCACATTAGTAAAATGAGGAGGTTAGAGAGATTGATTTTTAAGTTCTCTGTTGCTCTGTTATTATATGATTTGGGGCAGCCAGAGAGTTTTATTTGAAGTTTATTACGTGAATATGACATGAATCCATTACATGCTAGTAACCGAGTCTCAAAAACTTGAGTGTGCATGTGTGTGTGTGTATATAATATATATGTTATAATTTCTATTGATATAAAGGATGTGTAGCACATAATTTAGAAATGATAATAAAACATTCAATACTCTATTTTTAATTCCCAATAAAGCTAATTGATTCTCACAGGATCAGGATGATTTTGTTGAGCATTATCCTAATATATAAAAACCCTGGGTCATAACAACCAGTAACAACCAAAGGCTGACCAATTGGAAGTCAATGCTGGCCCCACCTCTAAGCAAGTGGTTAGGGGCAATCAGGCAGGCAGGCAGAGGGTTTAGGGATGATTAGGTAGGAATGCAAGTGGTTAGGGGAGATCAGGTAGGCAGGCCAGCAGTTAGGGGTGATCAAGTAGGCAGGCAAGTGGTTAAGGGAGATCAAGTTGGCAGACAGGCCCTTGCTGGACTGTCCCCACCCCAAGCAAGTGGTTAGGGGCAATCAGACAGGTAAGCAGACCAGCGGTGAAGGGAGATTAGGTAGGCAGACCAGCGGTTAGGGAAGATTAGGTAGGCAGACAAGTGGTTAGGGGAGATTAGGTAGGCAGACAGCCCCTGCCAAACTGTCCCTGCCCCCAAGCAAGTGATTAGGGGCAATCTGGCAGGGAGGCAGAGGGGTTAGGTGTGATCAGGTAGACAGACCAGCACTTAGGGGTAATCAGGTAGGCAGGCAAACAGTAAGGGGAGATCAGTTTGGCAAATGGCCCCTTTCTGGGATGGCCCCACCCCTAAGCAGGAGATAAGGGAAATCAGGCAGGCAGAGTGGTTAGGGGTGATCAGGTAGGCAGACCAGCAGGGGTGATCAGGTAAGCAGATGGCCCCTCACAGGGATGGCCCTACTCCCTAGCAAAGAAAGAGGGAGGCCCATTGCACCCCAGCCTATTGCCAGCAGGGGAAGAGGGGCAGTGCTGCACATATGGCAAGCAGTGGCAGTGACAGGGTGGGGTCAGCTGCCTGCAGCCCGGGGAAGGAAAGCCCCAATAGTCCTTGATCTCAGACCAGGCCTAGGGACCCTTCTGGAAGTGTCCCGGATGGTGAGAGGGTGCAGGCCAGGCTGAGGGAGCCCTCTGAGTACACAAATTTTCGTGTACTGGGCCTCTAGTGTATATATAAAACCAAATGTAATATTTTCCCCATTTATTTGGTATAGATATATCACATCAATAATAATGAAAATAGCAAGAAAAATTAAAGCACCATTTCTAGGAACAGATAAAAAAAAAAATCTCACAGAAACTAAAATATTTGCCACAGTCAGCAAGGAACATAAGTTTTTTTTTGTTTTTTTTGTTTTTTGTTTTTGTTTTTTTCTTTTCTGACTGCAAGTTCAGTTTTTCCTGCTAACCTGTGGGTAAAGAATGGTTCTGTAATTGGCAGGTAGATTCCTATATATTCAGTTTTTCCTTTAACCTTTTTTAACACCGGACTTGATGTGCTTTAACTCTTCTCTTCTTGATGGCCAGACTACCTTCATACAAGATTTACCAAAATTTAATACCCCCTGACCCCTCAAAAATAGTTAGTGCTTATGTATTCTAATCAACTTTCTGCAAAGCACTTGACTCTGAGAAAAACTGCAGAAAAACATTTAAGTGTAGGCTCAGCTTTTTGCTCCTTATTTATAAACTTGAAAATATGCTAGTAGTTATCTCCGAGCACGTCTCATTCTAATGGTAAAATTACGCTCTGGCATATGTCAGCTCTTTGCTGGCACTTTCGGGATTCTGAGGCCTGGCGGTAGGTTTAACATATAATGAATGGACATCTCCTACTAGGTAAGTAAGATTTCCTCCCCTCTCCACTATTTTAAGCTGTTCACCTTTGATATGTATGTGCTAAAATGACCAAATTTACACATTCTGTCCTACCTACAAAAGGTCCCTCTCATTCCCTGTTCCATTACTCCTTTTTTTCTTTAGAAGCCTTCCTTATTGCCCTCTTGCCTCTCTTCCCCTTGTTTGACCTACATCAGAGAAGCATCCTGTAGTGACCAGCGCCCATCAGTCCAAATCCTTGGTTTCATTCTGTCTCAGAAAATGCAAGATTTCCCAGGTCTAACATTTGAAATTTGCCCCCTTTCACAAAATAAAAAGTGTCAAACAGGTCAAGGATAAAATCAAGGGGCATAGCTGTAGTCTCAGCTGTAGGCAGGTGCATTCAGAGAGCACAACTTAAGACAGCAGGGAAATTCTGACCAAGCTGCCATGGATCCTAAATGCAGTTCTGGACACTTCCAGGAGCACCAGTCTTTCTCCTTTCAGAGAGGTTTCTACTCTTCAGATGATAGCATGCCATTCTCCCCCTTATTTAAACATGATTGACTCATTTACCAAAGCCTTAGTGCAAATGCTATTTGCCCCCTCCTTAGGCAAACAAATAAAAGGAAATCACATATGAAGTGTAAATACGGGCAAGAGGTGTGGTATCCATGGTATCGCAACCCGGCTGTTTGAGAGACTGCACCCAAACAGGACAGCCATATGCTACCAGGCAGCATGCTTATTTCTAGACCTGAATGGAGTTTGGAGATCTCTCACATCCAACATGTCCACTGATTACCGCGGCTGATTCATGTCCCTACAGAGATGAAGGCGCCATGTTGAGGGAGGTGCTATGTTCACACTCCACCATGGCCCCATCTGACAGATTCTGTTATTCTGTGCTAGATGCTCACGGGATGTCACCTAAGTTCCCAGGGATGTAGTTCTATCTTAGTTGTTTCCTTCCGTGAGACAAAGTGAAATACACCTACTGGACATCTTATCCTGAGAAGTTTCTAAATAGATGGAAGAAATTAGTAAATTCATTTTCCTGCCATGCGTCATTTTCCTATTCTTTCTCAGGATCACATACAAATTAAAAAAAAACAACAAACCTCTAGTATGTCTAAATATCAAAATACAGGCCTGTGGATCTTAGGAACTCTAATAATTTCCATGTCTTCGTTAAACATGAACACTTAAATTTTAATCTCATGTACTTCCATTATATATATATATATATATATATATATATATATATATATATATATAACATGTCACAATAGTGATTTAGATCCATTAAAATTTAAAAGTGGTAATGCCTGCATTCAAGGAAGTCTTTAATTAGGTGTTGTTGTTTTTTCTTCAAAATACAGATGCTAATTAACTATTTTAGTTTCTAGTCTTTCCTTGAAATTTATATTCTAGATATTATTTTTACTTACATATATTTTCTAATTTCTCCTTAGTAGAAGTATATACACATGTCACAGGCAAACTGGAATGTATCTTTGTATATAGGATAAGATGATGAGAAAATGCACACTATCTTGTATATGTGACATGCCTCTTAGAAACACCACAGTCTTATTGATATTCTCAATCAAAAACAGTTTACTATATAGTGGCTAGAAACAAGGGCTTTGAATTCAGATATTATTTTATTCCTTATAGCTATGTGACCTTAACCATTGCCCTGTTTTCTGTAAGATATCTCCCTGTGATACAGAAAGGTCAATTAATATCTCAGAGTAGATAACACTGGTAGCCCACAGAGGTAGAAGGCACCATTCTATACAGGCAGGAAAACACAGAGCTAATTGTGACTTTCTCCAGCCTTCCTCTCCCAAACTGAAAGTCCCCAATAAAACGTTTGATTATTTCCTGACCTCATTATTTTCTTTCCATACTGGTGACCTCGGAGTCATCTTTGACTCCTTGTTCCTTTGCCCTCTACATTTTATTGCTGAGACTTTTTGGTTGGCCACATTATGTGCCTCATTAAAAATAAAGAGGTTCATCTGTTTCTTGTAACCTGATTCTAGTTACACCAAACACAGCTTGGTTCTGTAAATATTTCAAAGGCAGATATGTTATCCCTCAAAATTATTTCTATTTCTCCACAGATCTTAATATAGATTGCACATCAGAATGAATGGCCAGTAAGTGTTCAATTGATAGTTACAAGTGATGTTCTTTTTTTTTTTTTTTTTTTTTTTTTTTTACTGTAGGTTGGTTTGCACTTAATCTGCATTGCAGAGATTATTATTCATTTGGAAAACTTTTTTTTTTTTAAATCAAATGCCTAACAAAAATACATCAATATTACCCATTTTATTTGCCACTGGCCACTGCTTTAAAGTTCTAAGGATGTTGGGGGTTGGAATATATTTTTAAAAACCACAAAGAGGTCACTAATGTTGACAACCCTGAATCCCTCTGAAAAATAAGCACCTGCTCCTCTTATTTACTATAATAACAAATGCCTGGTCTTTGTACAGGTCAAACAGGTTTTTTTTAGAATTTGCAAAAGGCAATTATTGGATAGTAAGACTGTAGCTGTTTTTGAACCTTAGTAATAAGACCTTCATCAAATACTGGGGGCTTCTGATCTTATGAAAATAACTTGGCTACTTATTAATGGAGAAAGTTTAGGCAGTGGGAAAAAGTATATAGCTACATATTATAACCATGATTTTATTTCAATAAGCATAAGAACAAGTCTAAGATTACATCCAGATTGCCGATAAGATTTTTATATGCTTAATTATGGGTTGCTTCAAAATCAGGTTTTTGTTACCCACTGAGGTAAAAACCTCGTTAAGTCTATTACAAACCTGGCAAAATAGAAAGCAAAGGCCACACTTTAGCTGCTTAAATGCCTGCTACCCAAATTAAGTTATAAGCATCTTACTAGCAGGAATTATTTTTTAAACTGTCATTCTCAATGCCTACCTTAGTATCTGGCCCCTAATAGGTGCTAAATAAATAATGAATGAGTGCTTGATTTATATCACCTATTTACACGTAAGGTCTGGGATATACAGTATAAGGGAATTGCATTATCTACTGCCCAAATGAAATATTATTCAGGTAAAACTCTAGAGCTGCATTGTCCAATATGGTAGTCACTAGACACATGTGGGTATGCACATTTAAATTAAAATTAATAAAGATGCAATAAAGTAAAATTCCAGTTCCTCAGTTGCATAACCAAATTCTAGCTTCCTTCATTGCAGAAAGTTTGCTGGTTAGCATTCTTCTAGAGAGTGTGGTATTTTCTTCATATAAAAAACCCCAAACCTCACTATGCAGGTATATAAATCCTAATGTACTCCGATGGTTTTGCAATTATGAATATTACTCTCAACTTTAAAGACTCCAGGACTCCAACCACTATATATTTCCTTATTAGCCTTTAGGTTTGTGATAGTCATAATTATTAATAGCTCTTTAAGAGATTTTTTAATAAATTCAATAGGCAATAGAGAGAAACACCTTAAATAAGAGGCTGTCACATATATGCTTGCTAAATATTCAGATTCTCGAATCCTAGTTGCAAGAACCTACTCCAATAGGTCTGAGGTGTCTTAATGAATATACTAATACATTATTAGACCACCGCAGGCAATCTTGATGCTCACGGCCCAAGGGCCACATACTGAAAAATGTAGCCCATTGATTACAAGGATTATCTTCTTGCTTATTCAACAAAATATACTGACTTTATGTTATGGCATTATTCTAGGCACCATAGCTATAAAGACAGAGAAAGAGAAGACATCCTTAGAGAAGGTACTTATTAATGGTGGCTCCTTTTACAAACTTGTTCCTCTAATCATAGGCACCCTGAACACTGCTGCCTATCCAGACCTGCTCTAAGTGGAATCTGGTTTCTTATTTCATAGTAGGAATAGGATTGGAACGGAGGAAGAATTAAAAGGAGAAGAAGGTAAAAGAGGAGGAGGTGGGAGATGTGTAGGAGGAGCTGAAGGAGAAGGAGAAGAAAGGAAAGAAACAAGAAGGGAGAAGGAGAGAAAAGAATGGGTCTGAAAAATAGGAAGGGAGACGAATGTACAAAGTTGGTGATTGGATGTTGGGTAGGGCAATACGCAAGAAAAGAGGCTGAGATGGCATTTATATTTCTGGCTCAGGTTGATAGATAGTCGGGCCATTCACTTAAGCATGGAATACAGAAAGAATAGTAATTTGGAGGGAAACAAAATGGTTTAGTTTTGACATGTTGGACTTGTATGCTGCCTTTGGTACTTCAAACTGAAGACATCTAGAAGGGAACTAGGTATACAGTTTTAGAGCTTTAAAGATAGAGGTTTGGGATGCACCAATGTTTCATGAAACCAGGGGAGTAAATGAAACCATACAAAAGAATAATATCATACTATCATTATTAAGAGAAGAGGAGGCTCAGAAAGATGGGAATTTGGTAGATATAAATATTTTAGGCAGTGATTCTTAAACTTTGTGTTCCATGAACTTTCTGAAAAATCAGATGATTTCTAGAAATGTAAAATATCACAGACTTAACAAAAGTTTCCAGTACCCCTTAGAGAACTGCCACAGATTTCAGATGTTTAAATTATAAAAGAGGAAGAGTAGCCCATGAAAGACAGTGAGAAGGGGAGTCACATAGTAGGAAAACCAGATTTTCAACTTTTGGAAATTTGTACTGACCTAATGCAACAATAGATATAAGCCTTTCAAGTTAGCAGCCTGCTTCTATTCCTGTTTGTAAAATCAGGAAAGCAAGAATGCATATTTTGAAATATACAATTTAGTGAATTCTCTTTTTCTTATCAGTCCTTCAGAGTTAGCAATTGGATTACTTCTCCATTCTGTTTTGGGTTTTCTTTCTTTGACTCATAGAAGCATGGCTTCAAAAACTCAGGAAAGAGAGTTTCTTAGAATATATAAACAATCCCACAGTGGTATTCTCTTCCACATAATTATCAAATAGGTTTAGAGTAAGGCCAGCGTATGTGTGTCTCACTGGGATCCTGGCCTTTCATGTCACACTTACCTACAGAAGTGATGATGACTGTGAAATGAGTTTCATCTTGTCTCCCAGTTACGTTGTTGTAAGCACAGCACACATAGTCAGTTGTCTTTTGGGCTACTTCCTCAGACGCAACTTTCAAGAGAGGCCCATGCTTAATGACATATGTTGTATTGTCAGTCCTTTGGATCCAGGAGTAGGTATTGGGAGGATAAGAATCAGCAGAGCAATCAAACAAGATGGCTTCTCCAATGTCAACAGTAAACACTTCCCCTACTTTTAGTCCTTTATCAGAATTAACTCGAAGTCCATAAGGTCCATCTGCATTAGTTAAAAAAAAAAAAAAAAAAAAAAAAAAAAAGGTAACATAAATAACCATGACATAGTTTACAAGTTTGGGAGAGCTTGGCAGCATTTTCTTTTCTAAGAAAGTCTTCAAGATAAACTGGGGCAATAGGTCTTCGTTTAGAGTCCCAATAAATGATAAGGACCTAAAATGTTTTATTCTAATATCCATGGAAATAATAATTATTTGAGATGTGATTGACCTTATGTGAAATAGCAAAAGTTTTGAAACTTGGTATATTACAAATTTATAGACACTGTGGTCATAATCATGGGGCTAAGCTTTTGAGCAACATATTGATAAATATGCAATCTTGATAGACAAATCCAATCTTTCTGAAATAGTAATTGTATTATAAAGCAATTTAAAAATAGATTATGGCCACTATTTTATCTGACAGTCATATTTTGAGTGTTATATGTGTTTTTTCCCCTCAGTGCTATCATAGGATACGTTATGAAATATTTATAAAATACAGGTACATAGTTTCGCACAGAACATAAATTTGTGCAAATAGATATAAGGGGTGCTCTATATGTGCATATTTTCATGACAATTTAACAGTTAACAAATTTTAAAAATACATCTTTTTTTGGTTAATTCTCATCAGAGGATATTTTTTCCCATTGATTTTTTTAGAGAGTATGGAAGGGAGGAATCTGAGAGAGAAAGAGAGAAACATGGATGTGAAAGAGACATTGATTGGTTGCCTCCTGAATGCAGACCAAACCTGCAACCCAAGTACATGCACTTGACTGGGGATTGAACCTGCCACTCTTTGGTGTGTGGGCTGACACTCTAACCACTGAACAATGTGGACCAGGGCTAAAAGTACATCTTCATTATCATTAACAAATACTCATTGATTATCAATAAACTACTTAATTATGGATAGGCTATGGTGTTTTTTCCTCACACTACAATGTTCCTATAGCATTTTGCTATTTCTATGGCATCAGATTTCCTGCAGATGGAAACACATTTCCAATTGCTTTCTAGAGTGAAGAAAGAGATTTAAAAAAATATTTCTACCCTAGCCAGTTTGGCTCAGTGGATAGAATGTTGGCTTGTGGACTGAAGGGTCCCAGATTTGATTCTGGTCAAGGGCTTGATCCCCATTGTGCAGGAAGCAGCCAATCAATGATTCTCATCATTCATGTTTCTATCTCTCTCTTATTCCTCTCTGAAATCAATAAAAATATATTTTAAAAAATATTCCCTAGCTGGATAGGTTTTTATCATTCAGTCTAAATCCTGGTTTAAGTTCCAAATACTTCAAAGTTCATGCATGATGGTACTCATTTTTCAGTTGACCATAATCAATATTTACTGGATATTTGCCATCTGAAGGCACTTTACTTATATAAATAACCACTTTTAATATTTAAAGCAGTCACATAAAGTAGATTATCATCCTCTTTATAAGATGAAGAGATAATGTAAAAATTAATTTTGCTTTGGTCACATACCTATTACATAGTATAGCTAGGACTCTAAAATACATGCATTTAATCTTTCATATTACCTTCCTAAAAATGCAAGTGATATAACTTTCACAATCTTTTTTTTGTGTAATAGTATTAGTTCTACAATAAATTACTATGGAGTTAGATATTCTGTACTCTACTAATCAACAAATCCTTGTTTGATAAATACTAGGTGTTAGATAACATAGTATATAAAAGATAAAAAATGTGTTAAGACGTAGTTCCTACTCTAAAAAAATTTGTAAGCTGGGTAAGTCTGTGGATGGTTTGCTCAATAATAACCTAATCTTAAAGGTTCTGATTTTTTAAAAAAAGAACTAGCTATTTGATCTCTCATTATGTGAAATAATTTAAGACTAGACAGTAGGATAGAACGGTAGTTTAAATCATGATTTTTTTCAATGATTAGTTAAGTTTTCTTCAGAAGTAATTTAAACTTTTTGGGTCAAATTTTCCTCACCTTTACTATAAAAAGGTTGATTAAATGAATAGTTGTTAAAGTTCTTTTTTTAAATTAAATATATTTTTATTGATTTCAGAGAGGAAGGGGGAAGGGTGAGAGAGATAGAAACATCAATGATGAGATAGAATCATTAATTGGCTGCCTCTTACATGCCCACACTGGGGATTGAGCTCACAACCTAGGCTTGTGCCCTTGGCCAGTAATCGAACCTGGGACCCTTTGTCCACTGAGCCAAACCAGCTAGGGCTGTTAAAGTTCTTTTTATCTTTGAAACATTATGATTAATGCTGTATTAAAGCTATTTTGCACACTGGCAAGCCTGCCTCAAATTTTCAGATAGCCAAAATAGTTCTCTATTATATCAGCATTTTCTGACCAACCTACCATTGGGAAAGCAAATTTCCCAAGATATAACAGACGCAAAGATGCAAACAATGGATTATATTTACCTAGGGAACATACACTTTACACATATTTGCTTCCTAAAGACACACAGACATCTGAAAGAAACCTGTAGATTAATGTGTATATATGAGACGATCCTGCTTTCAGAAAGCAAACATTAAAGTTTGAAGTAACCAGGAGCTGGACACTGAGCATTAAAGTGAAGAGAAATGGATGTCCCTTTCCTGTGACTGCTTTAGAACCCTGTAACACAGTCCTCATTTCAGTGCAGCGGCAGGGGCCCTTCAAATTGTCATCCCGGGTAGGACATTAGGGAAGCCAAGGCCACCACCCAGTGGGCGGGCGCTGGTTGTGGTTCACATAGCAGAAAACCAGTGGGAGGCAACCACTGAGACTTGGAACAAGGGACCCAAGTCTGTACACAAAACTGGAAGTCTGAGAGCGGAGCAAGGCAGATATAGAAGAGAAGTGTGGTCTTAAAAATGCAGCCATTCAGTTTAAGCCACTGCCTTCCCACTGGTTTTCAGGGTTTCTAGATGGTGACTATAAAAACAACTGGCCTGACACTTAACACAGATAAAAATCAGGGATATTTTGTTCAAAGTGTGCTGATATTAAAGTCTTGTTGTTGTTTTTTAATCTTCATTTGGAATTGCCTTAGGACCTTGCAACATAATGGAATATTCTCCAAAATAGTAATTCTTTCATTTTGGAGAGTGGGTTTGATTTGCAGAGAAAGCCCATAGTCATTTATAGAGAAGGCTGGTGAATTAGATTCATTACCTAATTTAATAACATCACTCTAGTTTAGAACGTGACTTTAAATAAAGGAATCTGATTATCTTACCTTATTTTCCCAACACTCATATTTATTTTGATTTTGCTACTTCCCCATTTCTTGGGTTTCATCGATTGGCATAATCTTTTGTCCTCTAGCTGTCTTAATTATATGTTATTTGGCTTTTCATAGTTAGCCTCAAAAACCCCAAATTCCCTACCTCCTCTTCCCACAAGCATTTCCTACAGTTCTTAGAACCTAAAACTAGAAGCATTTTGGTTGCTTGCTTCTGATATTATTTCTTAAAATGTAACCTATTAAATTGATTAAATAAAAAAATACATGTTCATTGAAGAAAATCCTAATATTCAGAGAAGCACAAAGATAAAAATTTATTTGTAATTTCAACAGAGAACGAATAACCATATTTCACTGTATTATCTTCTAGTCTTTCTTCTTTCCTCCCTCCCTTCCATATAGATCTTACCCATTTCTCTTTTACACTCTACACATTGCTTATAATCAATCTATTTTCTTCTTAATGAACTATATTGTTATTTCTTTTTTTCATTATCATTTCAGGCTGACCATCACTTTACTTTGAGGTGCAACCTAGTACATTATTCATGGAAATAAGCAATCCAGTGAAAGACCTTTGGGGTGATTCAAACAATATTCGACCTCTGACATTGAAGATGAAAGCAGAAAGATAATTCTGTTTTGACTTTGGATTGCGGTTCAATTCCTTGCCTTTGGCAGAGAACTCCCAATAGAAATGAACCGTTTGCCTCAGGAAGGGCTGTTTACTAAATGACTTGTAAAATAACATATCATCTGTTCTCTTTAACAATTTATGGCTGGGTGGCAACAGTACCTAAGTTTTCATCATGATGCTGCTTGCCATCCTGCTTGGGAGCAGATGGTAAGTATTTACTGTGAATGACCTTCCCCCCCACCCCTCTAATTTTTATCACTTAGAGTACTTCCCTGCAGTGGTGCCATATGCTATACACAAAATGCAGTGGTTACTGGATTATTATTTACAAGAGCTGAAAGGCATATACATTTCATGAGCTGCAAGTAGATATTTGTCTGAATTATTGGCTTGACATTGTATTCTACCAGGATCAATACCAAATTATGACATCATATCCTCATAAATATATGGTCAATCTTGGTAGATTTTGTTACACATTTTTTTTTCCCCTGCCAGAATAAAAAGTAATTCCTGCTTTCATGAAAGAAGCTGTCATAGAAACAGTGCCTTAAGAAAACAGATTAGGTGATTCATGCTGAAATTCTAAATTGTGCTGTGAACTTTTATGCGGGAATATTGGAATCTGACATTTACTACATTATTGAGGAACTCTCTAAGGTCAGGAAAACAACTACGCAGAGCACAAGCACTTTAAGAAGCTGTTATCTTGTAATGGGAATATAGTCTCTCTACATGATCATTAAGTAACACTAGAATTTGGAGGGATATGAAGAAAGATAATCTGTTCCATTCTAGTCAAATTCAAGAAACCTTGATTGAGTTCATAACCTGTGGCAAGTATTTCCCTGGGGGTACAAAGGTGAATAATGTCTGGGCATGGAGCACTGATGAGGGTAAGAGACTCAGGAAAATATAATTCAATGAGTACCAGAGGGCAGATATGCATCGGGAACTGCAGGAGCACAGCAAACCTCCCGACCGCATAGAAGTGAGACAGAGTGGGGCAGTGAGCCTTTCTAGAGAAGATGTGAAGGAAGAGGATGTAACCAGGAGCACATAAGCCAGTGAAGAAAGAGAAGGAGGTACAACATCGACTAAGGCATATATTCCCAGTTTGCATGGAATGACAAAGATTGCAGACATGTTGATGCCATATCAACAGAAAGTATAAAAGAAAAATCTTCAGATTATATATTTTATTTAATTCTTTGAACTCCAAACCAAGAAAAGAAAATAACAATAAAATAGGGCTAAAGAGTTATAGCAAGAAAAATGAATAAAGTAACAACTCTGGGTAATGTTTCTATATTCTATGCATGTTTCTATGTAATAATTGCTTAGAATAAATACAATGATAATTTGATTTTTGAATCAAAATGAGAGAATGAATAAATGAATGAGTGAATAAATGAATGAATGAGTGAATATCATTAAGTGGTGTTGACTAAGTGAAGGCTTTTGCATTTGAATGAGAATACTAAAGAAAATTAATTATAATAATACTATATTTATAATTACCTCTAATAAGAGTAAAAAAATCTTAAATAATGCAGGTATTCATCTTTACAATGTATAAATAGAATCTACATTTGTCTCAGGTCAGACATTTGTCTCTGAAATGTCCATAGATTACATCTAAAAGAATGTGAAGAAGAACGTTCAGTCTGTAAAAGAAAATATATTTGAAAATATGACTTTACTGTATTCAAATCAGGGTATTTTAATTCAAATAACACAGGAAAGGGAAAATGGTATAGCATTTAAAGTATAATATTTAACATTTACTAGTGTAATTGTGGGTTTTCTCCCCATTTTTATACTTTGCATACTGTGTATCAGCATATTCTGTGATCATAATGTGATTGGAGCATAAACTTGAACATGTTGAAAGAATAATCCTATTTTCCCTTTTTCAGATTAAAATAAACAATATAGTAAAATAAAAATGTAAAAATACAAATCATTCTTTCATGTGCCTAAGTATATATGCAATTTCTTCTAGGAATATTTTATTTAACTTTGTGGCCAGAGTTTAAAGATAGACAGATAAAAGGAGAGATAAATGTAAGAAAGAATTAATGTAAAGAAAATATTTTCATATAGAAAAATTAAGTATGTTAATTTAAAATATAGTAATGTTTAGGGAAGAAAAAATTTGTCCTAAGGTATTCTTTCGGTTTTCTCTTTGCAGGTGTCTTCTAAATTACCCAGGCTTTTCATAACTTCTTGCTGCCATGTTGCCAATTAAGTCAGCATAATTCTGTCTCAAAGGGGAAAAAAGAGCTAACATTATTGAGTTCTTCCTATGTGCCTCTTGCTGACTTCTTTATACATAAAATTTCACTTAATCCTCCATTACTCGTACATTGGGGAGAGTGTAGATATGGAGATGAGGGAACTGATTCACAGAAAGGGACAGAACCAGGTATTTAACCCAGGCGGTCTGAATTCATAGCTGAGGCCCAAAACCACTGTGCTACCCACTGACTCTCCAAATGACATGATGTTAATTAGTGCCTGTGATCAAAACAAATCATGATCAGGTTTCCTATAGTTAACAGGCAGTGTTTCCCAAACTTTTGACATATGTGTACCCCTTCTACAATTTTCATAATGCTGAGTACCCTTTGTACTCATGAGAACGTAGAATTAGGCGCAGCTAAGCATGGTGCAGTACATATCCCCACCAAACTCTTCCCGTTCCCCTGGGGGTACCCATACTATAGGGAATGCTCCATCAGGATTTCACTTCCTGTTGTCTGTCACTACACTGAATGATGATGGTTCTTTAAGATTAATATTCAGTAGATAAAATCTGGTTGGTTTAATATCTTGTTTTGCATGTTGTACCTTTTCTATGTGAACATAAGCCATTTAGACAAAACAATAATGTAAGGATTTGTCTACATAGCCCTCGATTTGATTCAATTTGCTCACATTCCTTACATCTGTTTAAGTAACTTGAAGCTTAGGTCTGTACTACTTGGAGTTGAATGGAAGTTTTAATTCATATCAGAATAGCCTTTTTCAGTCAAGAATATGACCACATAGTAAACAGACAGTACCAAATAAATAGATGGGAGCAAATTTTTCACTTCAATTCAATGCTAGTTGTGAATATTATAGTTAGTTTATATTTCCTCTATGGCTCTATTTCTGGGCACACAGAGTTTTTTTCCACAGTGTTATCAGAATGTAAATTTATGTAAAACTAAAAATAAAGTTAAAAGTTCAGCTATAAACTAAAAATAGTACCATTGTTATTGATATTAATACAACTAATGATTAAAACAAATCTTATATAATTTGCTGGCAGTGAGCAGTGTTTTGGTATTTCTCTGTGAAAAGCGTAATTTCTGTCTTTGGCACTCTTTAATGATAAGATTTTTTCCATTTCTGATAGAAGGAACTGGCTCATCGTTAATCTCACTGAATTCTGAGTTTGCCAGGCTTAATTCTACCCTTATGGTTCAACCAGCTGAACCCTCTATCCTCGGTCCACAGGGATGAGAAGTCCTCTGCCATGGCTTACTGTTCCTGTTCACACTGCTGTTGTAGCTGTGCTCTGAGCTGCATGGTATCTGATAAAAAGATTTCCCAGTGGGATAGGCCATTGGTTCTCAACTAGGGGAGATTTTGCCCCCTCTCACACTCCAAGGAACATACTTCAATGTCCAGAGATGTTTTTAGTTGTCACAACTGGGGGGTGTTGGTACCGGTATGTAGTGGGTAGAAGTCAGGGATGCTGTTAAACATCCCATAACCATCCCATAACAATGAAGTTGTCCAGCCCAAAATGTCACTAAGGTGAAGGTTAAGAAACTCTGTGCAAAGCTAACATTACAATGTGATATTAAACATGCTAAAGGTGGTGCTCGGGAGTAGAGAGAACTGGGTTTAAAATATAATAAAGAGAGGAATCATGTTTGGGTTGGTGCTGATGTTTTGGCATGAACTGAAGAGTTTGATTAACTTAACTGTGCACATGAGATTAAACAATAACAGAAACAAAAAGGACCAAAGAGAATTAAAATCTGAAATAAGTGCTGTTCCCTGGGAAACTGAATACCTTACTGAGGAATAACTGTGTTCTCTGACTATGATCCTCCCGATACCCTGACTCTAAACATGGAGCTGAGAGAATTGGGGAGGGAGGAGAACAGCCTGGACACATTATTTTTCCCTTTGGTCAGGTACAGAGCACATCTCTCTTCTAGTTTAAGATGACCAACTTATACTCCTTAGGGATGAATAACTTAGTGTCTTTCACCTAGTTCTGGGTTCTTGAAATTGAGGTTCCTATTTCCCACTGGAAATAAGGTCACACAATGCACTAAGTCACAAAATGTATTCTGAAAGGCCCTTGGCCAGTATCTCAACTAGAACTTCAAGAAATAGGGTTATGTAAGCAAATATATTTCATGAAAAGACAGTGCTTAGGAAGTGTGAGTATAGCTGCACTATAAAAACCAAATGGCATTTGGTATTGATAGTCTCTGTGACTACCCTTGTGAGAACTTCCCAGAAGAAAAGTCATGATTTTTTTTTTTTTAACTTACAATATATGGTGGGCATAATGATGTCACTTTCCATCTCACTGACAGGATTCTTCACCAGGCAACTATAATTCCCAATGTCTTCCTTGGTCACTGGAGCAATATGAAGAATGTTGTTTTGGGGAGAAAAGGAGTTGGAGCTGGTATGGACAGGTCTCCCATTTTTTAGCCACTGGTAAGCCAGCCGGGTACCTTCTTCCACCAGGCATGTCAGTGTCATGTTCCCTACATACTCCACAGCCCCAGAGGCAGGCTGAATCTGTACCATGGGTTTTGTGACAGGGTCTGCAATATCAAGAGAGATAGAAATGATTTTTACCACCATGACATTTTAACAAAAAATCTATGAAGTCTCTCGCATATTAAATCTCTGGGAAATGATTCTACAGTTTTATATTTGTAAATGTAAACAGTTCAGGCAATAATTAAAGAAGAGACTAAAAATGCAAAACAATAATAAATATAAAAATATAATTTACAACAGATAAATAATCACATTCTGGAACTTACTCTTCAAGGATTTCCTGATGAAAACCTTTATAGCTAATGGAAGTTAGTGGTGAAGAGCATCAGGGGCTCTCTTTCCTCTTTTGTGCTTGCAGACAATATGAAGGTAGACTCACACAGACAAAATTAACATCCTAATCCCCTCTTATGATTTGCCCTAAATCCCACGGGTAGCTGGTGGAATGGATGTGGAGAATCCAAATTTCTACTATTTGCAAAATATAAAGCTCATATATATTATACTTGTGGGGAATTGAGGGAAAGTTTTAGAAAATCATATATGTACCAATTACTTTTCCTTTTATGTAAGCGAACTAATTATATGTTTTAGTTGCTGTGCATTTGTTTTTGCAACATTACATTTGGCACTTTAACAAACCAGTGCCTACACTTCAAAACGGACTCAATCTGAAAATAGGATACTGGGATTATATCAAACTAGAGGCCTGGTACATGAAAATTCATGCACTGGAGGGGGGGTTCCTTCAGCCTGGCCTGCCCCTTCTCACAGTTGGGGAGCCCTCAGGGCTCCATCACACCTATGCTGCTGCCACTGCTGGCAGTGCAAGCCTTGGCTGGCCCTAGGTGACTGGGAAGCCACCATCTGAGGCTTGCTTGTGCCTTGGAATGGCCCTAGGCAGCTGGGGGGCTGAGCTCGGGTTTGGCCACACCATGCGCCTGCGGTGCCCCCCTTCCTCCCCCTCCCCTCCCCTGACTGGGCTGAAAGGACTGTGGGACTCTGGTGGCAGAGGGCAGGTCCAGCCACACTATGTGCCTGCCACCCCTCCAGTGGGGCTGAAAGGACTGGGGGACTCCAGCGGGGCTGAGGGGACTGAGCACCGCCATCTTGTGGCTATGGGACTGCCATCTTTGTGACAGCATGATAGTTGTTTTGCACATCCCCTCTTTATTAGTTAAGGATTAGGGAGGTAAAAGAGAAAACCAGTGGAGATTCCTATTGGAACTTTGAGGTATAGGAAACCAGTTTTATGTCATGAGCCTAATACATTGTAGTAATGTGATATCTGTCAAATGAGTAAATTTCTAAGAATGAGTATACATTTCTTTTTAAAAAAATATATATTTTGATTGGATTTAGAAAGGAAGGGGGAAGAGAGAGAGAGATAGAGAAAGAGAGAGAGAGAGGGAGAGGGAGGGAGGGAGGGAGGGAGGGAGAGAGAGAGAGAGAGAGAGAGAGAGAGAGAGAGAGAGAGAGAGAGAGAGAGAGAGAGAGAGAGAGAGAGACCAATGATGAGGGACAATCATTGATCTGCTGATTCCTGCATACCCCTTAAGGGTGATTAAGCTCACATCCTGGGCATGTGCCCTGATCAGGGATCGGATGGTGATCTCCTGGTTCATAAGTTGATGCTCAACCACTGAGCCACACCAGCTGGGCTGAATGAGTATATATTTCTTCTCTGAGTTTTAACTCTATAATTGTTGGATAAGGGTGGAGATTACATCAATATCTACAATAATTTTTAGCAGCCTTCATTAATTTTTGAGGTGCTTGACTTGGATTGATAAAGGATGGTGACTAACCCAGAGTTACATAGCAGTCAGTGGCAAAATGAAGAGGGCTTGACATCTGACAGTATTTTTCTGCAGCATTTTGGAGAGATATTGGTTTAATAATCTCCTGTTGTATGACTACAGGACACAGAGAGAGTGAGTGATATAGAAGTGACAGATGATTGGCAAAATATGAAGATTTCAATTTCCTATCATTAACCTGGTTCATGTATCTTAAGTAAATCTGCCTTGACTCATACAATTTCCTACACTGGAAAATGTTTATTACGGAACAAACAGACCCAAGCCTTCAGGCCAGAGGAGATAGGAAAACATTAAAGGGAAGGGGAGTTGAAAGGGCAGCCTGCAGGGCAACTGAGGAGTTCCATAGTCTCCAGCCTTTCTCAAGCTGGTGAAACAAACTGGCTTGTCTCTTTAATTTAATCCATCTTTTCTGGCAAGAACAAAGGATTTGGAATAGCTTTGTTTGCATTATTATGATTAGAAAAGAAAAATTAGTTGTGTACACTTATTACATTAAAAAGTTCATGTTTCATATATGTCTCTGTGTTGAAATATACATGGAATGAGATAACATGTCAAAGGTCTCATATGGAGAGAATAAATTATTAGAATAGACATTAGTATTGTAATCACACATTTGCCTAGAATAGTGTAACTCTGATGTGGAAGTCTCCTGAGAATACTTTTTTGTGAAGGCCCCTAAACCCTTATTAAGGCTTTTTGGTTGCATTTCTCTAAACAGATCCAATTTTACTACACATTAACAAGTAATGTTCTACTAAAAGTCATGGGAATAGATAGGATACTACACAGGAGAGTTTCATGAAAAATTCCCTTTAGATTTTTCTCCTTTTTGTCCCCCAAACAGGCATCTGCTTCCACAACCTGTGTATTTGCTGCCCTGCAAATTTGATCTCATCTCCACTCATTTACTCCACAAATATATACTGAGTACCTGCTAATGGCAAGCAACAGGTTTAGGCACTGAGGACAAAGCAGAAAATAATACGAAGTCCTTGCTCCCATTGATTTTATATTCTATGAGAGGAAGATAAACACTAAATAAGTAAAAATATATAATAGTTGAGTGGAAATAAGTGCCTTGAAAGGAATTTAAGTTCTCTCTCCCCCCTCTCCCCTCCTGTCCTTCTGCCCTCCTGCTCTCCTGTTTCGGCTGAGACCTAAAGGAAATAGGAAAGAGAACCATACTGTTGTCTAGGAGAAAAGCAGTCTAGGTAGAGGAACAGCAAGTACAAAGGTGCTGTTCTAGGGAGAACAAATTGACCAGAGTAGCCACAGCAGATTGTGGGAAAGTGAGTTGAGAAATGGAGTCACATAGCTATTGGTTATGTTGCGGAGATCATGGTGGACCTTGTAGGCCATTGTTAGGACTTTAATTTTTATTCTGAGTGAGATAGAAAGCCGTGGGAGGATTTCAGGCTACAGGAGGCAGGAGCAGAAACAGGGAGGCTAGGTATCAGGCTATTAGGATAGCCTGGGCAGAGCTGATGGTGGGGAGGAGTGGAGCTGTAGTGGGGGTTGTGAGAAGTGATGGAAATCTCTATATTTTGAGGATGAAGCTGACAGGATTCACTCATGGGCTGGATGTGGGACCTGAGAAAAAGGGAGGGGGCAATGGTAATGGCAAGGTTTTGCCCTAAGCAATTGATGTTATGGAGTTGGTACTTCTGAAAATTTAGGAGAAATATTGTAAAAAAAAAAAAATGGGTTTAGAGGGGAAAATGAGAACTTGGTCTTTGGGCATAGTATAGCTAAGGTATGCCATTTAAATACTATACTTCAATAAGAAAAATAACTGTCTAAACATTAGCTGACCCCACTCTCCCTCAGAGGACATTTCCCACAACTTCCATTGTTTCTTCAGGCTCGTCCTTGAACAGTCTCATCCGCCCCCACCCAGTGTGTCAAAATAAAAACCTCCATGTGACAAAATTAGAGATCTTCCCAGGGTGCATCTCATTACTTTATACTTGATAGTTTCCAGGCAAACAAAAAAGTTCTACTTATTGCTTGATTCCCTTTTCCTGGGCACTGAATATCCTTCACATTCCTCTCTGATTTAATCCTCAGAAAACCTCACCCGGTAGATAATGCCATTTGTGCTGTGAGACATGGAGGCTTTGTGGGCTAATGAATTTGCCCCAAATTGGAGAGCCAGTACCTAAAGCCCAGGTAGTCTAATCTGAGTCATGGCTAACTGCCATGCTACCCAGCTGCCCATAGCATTTATAGTGGACTCACCATCAACAGTGACTTGTATCTTCTGACTAGCTGAGAGAGTTCCATTTCCTTGAATGTTGACTTTCACAATGTAATTGCCTTCATCGGTGAACTGCAGTGGGTTGATGAGCAGAGATGCATTGGGTGGCATCATGGTGAACTTGTGTTGGTATTCCAGGTCGGGAACCACGGACTTGTTCACAGAGCCCAGTAAGTATTTGGGCATCGTGTGGTGTCTCTCAAACAGCCATATAATCTGAATGTCTGATGCCGGAGTGTGGAATCCATAGTGCACAGGGAGGTAGAGGGCCTGACCCCTGACACCATGGACGGTGTACGATGGCACCACCACCTTCAGCCCCGAGCAAGTGCCTGCAACAAAGGAAAGGAAAGCAGTAAAGACTCGGAGCCACATTTCACAACCTAAAGAGGCAGAGCAGAGAGAACCAGATTAGATGATAATTTCTTTCAAAGAAGCGCAGCTTCTAGCCTCTGACCATTCTGGTACCGGTTTCCTGAAGAGGTAAATATTTGTCTCTGAAACCTTCTGCATTTGAAAAACTCCACCCAAAGACTGTGTCGTTTACATGACTTCTTTAAAGGAAAGCAGAAGTTACTATCAGTGACTGTTAAAGAATAATGGGAAAAGGAGAACTGGTTAAGATTATTAGTTCTAAAGTCCATGAAACTTTAAAATTTTTTTAAATTGTGACTATCAATATCTGAATCATATATCCTAATCAAACTATGTGATTCGAGAAACTACTTCCTCCCAAAAATCTTCCTCCAAAGTCTTCTAAAATGGCTTTGTAGTCCATTATTGGAAGTTTTTACTTTTAGCCAAAGCCTTGCCAGATACAAATACCCCAAGGAGAGTGACATTAAATCATTATCAGTCATGATCAGTTATTCTTGCCGAGAGGCAGGAATCTGGCTGGTGTGTTTGAGAAACAGCGAGAGGTGGGAGTGGATAGAGCACAGAGGAGGAGGAGGAGGAACGTGTAGTAAGACATGAGGTCAGTAAGGTGTCGAGGCCAGATCAGGCCAAGTCTTAGGGTCATGGAAAAACACTTAGGCAATTATTCTCTGAGATAGGGATGCAACTAGAATGTTGTGAGCAGAGAGAGATACGATCTTTTTTGCTTTTGTTTTTTTGGGTGTATTTCATCTGCTGTGAGAATAGACAGGTGTGGGCAAGAGAAGGAGTAGGAAACCACTTAGGAGGTAACTACAGTAAAGTAGGCAAGAGAAGATTGTGCTAGAGACCAGGGTACTGGTAAAAGATACTGTGATAAAAGGCCGGCAGTGCTAATTTGATGACACATTGGGCTGTGATATAAGAAACCAAGAAGAGTAAAGAATGACTTCCAGGTTGTCCACCTGATCAACTGGAAGAGTGGAGTTGTTTATTAATGGACAACTAATAAAGTAATCACGGGAAGACTGTGAAGAGAACAGCTTTTCTAGGGGAAGGTCAGAGTTCAGTTTTGGACATGTTCATTTTAGATGCCCATTAGACATCCAAGAGGGAATACTGAAAGGCTATACTAGGCATGACAGCTGGATTAAAGTGGGTTTTAAGAGGGAAGGATGGTCCTGGAGGACCTTAGGGGCATGGAGCTTTGCCCAGTGCATAGCTCTGGCTCCTGCCCCTCCTATTTGCCTTGGTTGTTTGGCCTATGTAATTCTATGTCTGCAGGTTTTTTTTTTCTAGTTTTGTGTAGTTAGAGATTTCCCCATCTTTACCTTGTGTCATGGTGCATTGTTTTATTTAGCATTTTTATGTATTTGTAATTGAGAAGAGAGTCTTCCTTAGTTTAGGCTACCACATCGCTGAGGTCTTAATTAAAATCTCTTTGGTTCAAAACCTTCATTTTTAAAAGTAGCAATATGGCACCTACATCATACAAACATTTGAAATAGTGAAGGAGAGAATAGAGGAACTTAAATGTGAAGTATTTGAACAGTAAAAGGAAAAAAAGGAAATGAAATTAGAGTCAGTGGGTATAGACAACACTTCTGGGGAGCTTTGCTGTGAAGGGGAGCAGAAAAACTTGTCTTCTTTGTTAGGATGGATGCTGAATAGCACTTTTGTAGCTATTGGAATGATACCCTAGCCTAGAAAGAGAAATCTTGATGAAGCAGAATACATATGGGTGAAATGGAATAAAATCAGAGGTGAGAAGAGATGGGAATCTGGGCACAAATAAATATCTTACAATTGCTATTGAAAAGAGTGAGTTTGTCCAGTTGGCGTTAGCTCAGCCAAACACTAAACACTGGCTAGTTGATTATGAATGGCATCATGCAGGAGAACAGGAAGTTAATGCTCAAAAGCTGGAACTCCCCAATGGCATATAGGTTACAGATTATACAGGGCAAAAATCACAAGACACTGTGGGTTAGAGGTTCAGGGTTGTATTGGGAGCTGATAAGTAAACATCTCTTCAGATCTTGAGGACAGCTTTGAGGTCCGCTCTGGAATCTGTCTGTCTGGTTTTATAGAAAAGGAGTAAAGGGGAACTGAAACATAATTTAGGTCAAGATATTACATTTAGTTTAATGTACTTTGTAACCCTGAATCAAGACCTGGCCATTGTTTCTGGCTGCCGGGTGGGTAGTGACTTTAAGGGAAAGGATTAAGGTTTACAGGGCATCCTTTGAAGAAACTGCATAGTGTTGGGCTACCTCTTAACTCAAAATTATACATTAAATCAGGTTTCACAATTTCAGTTTCCTTATATACAAAATGTTTATCTTCTTTGATTGCTTCCCCTTTCTATCCCTACTAAAAAGGGGATCTTAAAGCTTTCATTGAGTCTTGTTATGAAAAGCCATCAATATTAGGAAGGGGAAGTATAAAGGTCAGTTACACAGTGAGTTCTTTGGAGAAAGGGAAAGGTGTAGGCCTCTTCCTAGGAGATATCACGTTCTACCGACAGTAAATTTCTCTCTTTCCATCCCAGGGTAGAGGTGGGGGCAAAGATTTCTATGGTTTTGGTCTTTGGTTAGCTAGACGCAGAAAGTAAGACTGTGGGGCCTGCAGGGAAGTTAGAGCAAAGAACTCAGGAGGAGAAAGAAGATCGGAGGAGGTTAGAGGGAGAAGGAACTCCCAGATGCTCAATTGAAACTGACTATAGGGACTGAAAGTTGGGTGACTCTATGGGAAAAATAAACATGTGTCTTACAGTCTCCTTGGGCTCTGTGTATATTTGTGGTTGACTTGTAAATTTTTTCCCCCTCATAATGGGCTGTACCTGCACATTTGTTTTAGTGATTTGGTCCATAACAAAAGGGTTACAAAGGTATGGGGATTTGCTTCTGTTTTCTTTTCTGGAAAGTTGAAGAACGTTAACGTTGTAGTTGTTCCCCATTTGAATTATTAGGAAAAGAAGGAACTGGTTGCTGGGAATTTTGAAGAGGAGACAAAATGGATTGCAGGGAAGGAGTAATGGTTTCTGCGAGGAAATCATAAGGGAGGAAAAGGAAGACGAGAGTAAATCTAAGACTTGAAACCAGTGATGCCTGAGATACGTGAAGCTGAGGCTGACAGAGAGGAAAAAGGCTCTTGAAGTCAATGTCCCCCAGGCATTTGGATGGGGCAGTACAGGGGGAAAAATTCATTTTGGTGCCCAGCTGGCATGGCTTGCGGGTTTAACGTCAACCTTTGAACCAGGAGATCACAGTTTGATTTCCCATCAGGGAATATTCTCAGGTTGCAGACTCAATCCAAGTAGGATTGCAGGAGACAGCCATCAGTGATCCTCTCTCATCATTTATGTTTCTATTAATATTTCTCTCTCCCTCTCCGTCTCTGAAATCAACAAAAGTATTTTAAATAATCATTTTGGTATATGTGTTACTTGCACAAAACAACATGAGCTTACATACCTTCCATTGAAACTGGTGATAGGAAGCTCCTGATAAGCAATAAACAATAAATAAAAACTAGCTTTTTAGTTGCCATTATTATTAACTTATATAAGCGGCAATTCCCACCATTTTTATTGGGTGTTTCTGTCTCTGTTTTACTGGAGTGCACATAAAAATATTTATGATTTCATCATTCACTCCTCATCTTAGACTCCCTTATCCTACTTTCACTGTATAGTCTTAAATCCACCACTTGCTAATTGCCTTGATATAAGGGATTTCAGGAACCTATTCTCTAAATTTGGAGAGAGATTACTGTATTTGATACTTTGATAAAGTTAAAAATCCACTAAATGTGAGGTCTTAGTAAAGGACACACACTTGTGATAAAAATGAGGATTTGTTAGTGAAGTTTTAATAAATCTTTTTTTTTTTCCTCCTGTGCGAAAAAGGAGTAGTATTAGATGAAGCATAAGGCTTCTCTTACTCTTGTTGATGTTATTGACATTCTGAGGTGCTTTTCTTGGGGTAGCAGGTACCCTACATTTGAAGGTGAAGGTCTGTATTTAATTTCTCAGGGGCACAAAGTATTTTGAAGTATTGAGTCTCAGGTGTTAGTCCACTTAATATGTTGCCAATCCCTGGATATACTTTAATAAAGTGGTGATTCTGTGTTTATTACCAAGGAATCAAGGGGAATGGTGGGAACTCATATCATTGCCTTGAGAATGCACTGGGAAAGCTGCACAGCCACCAACATAAAACTCAGTATTTGCCTCTGATAGTGAGCAGCTTGGTTATTGATATGATGGTCCCTGTAATACATTTCACAGCTCAACCCAGAAACCAGTGTCATGCTGAAATGTAGACCAAGATGGCTCAATCTGGCTAATCTGTTCTTGTCATTTGGGGAAGTCATTGCCAAAGTCCTTGTTCCCTTTTTTTGAAAAAGATAAGAAGTATTTCTTATCTACTTTTTTTTTTTTGTATGTGTATGTGTGGTTGAAGTTGGAAACAATTAACTGAGGTTGTAATATTCTGAAAGTGTTTGAGTAACACTGCATAGGCAGCTGGAATAGAACAGAAAGGTTGGTGAATTTTGGATCCTGTACCAAAAACTTGAATCTTAAGTATCAAAAGACTGATTAGAGAATCTGTGACTAGAGTTATGGGAAGCAAATTCTATTTAATAATATATTAAATATGAATATTGCAGTCCAGGTAAAAATGAAGCTACATTAGCAGAAAATAATTTATATGGCACTTATTATTTATATTAAATAATTTATATGGACAATATTGTTTAAGGAGGGTGGCCTAATTCTTTGGACCATTTTAGAAACTGCATCATATAATAATACCTTAAATAACATGTCATTAATATGTGTGCATATATGACAGTGGGAGAAAGCACAGCTGTGATAATAGCTGTTTCCTTAGGTTGCCCACACCATTTTTTTTAAACCAGATAAATTATATTTAGCAAGTTTTAAGAATGTCATCAAGGAACAAAATTTTCTGTATTTCAGTTATCTAAAATATTTTAATTTTGCAGGAAAGACATGAATCTATTGATATGATACAATCCTTACTTGTAGTGAACTTTGGGGAATAAACAAATAATTTAATGCTTCCCCTACATTTTAGGATGTATTTCCCACTACAGATGTGATGAATTCATGCTGTCAATTAACATTATATTAACTTAAAAAAAATTAGCTTCATTTTGAGTATTTTTCAAGTATTCTTTTCTAGTTGTATGAGAAAACCTAAAGAACCAAAACTATTGATTTTAGAAAGTCAACCTTTGTGTGTACAAATAAACTTCAAAAAAATGACATAAAATTGATGAAATTTTAATTTGCTTTCGATATTCCAAATATCTTGACTTAATTTAAAATTCATTTTATTATTAGATTAATATTTTTTGCATATAGGGCATAGTAAATTGGAGAAACTTAGCTAATACCATTAAAAATCTGAAATGAGCCGGGACCGGTTTGGCTCAATGGATAGAGCGTTGGCTTGGGGACTGAAGGGTCCCGGGTTCGATTCCGGTCAAGGGCATGTACCTTGGTTGCGGGCATATCCCCAGTAGGGGCTGTGCAAGAGGCAGCTGATCGATGACTCTCTCTCATCGATGTTTCTAACTCTCTTTCTCTCTCCCTTCCTCTCTGTACAAAATCAATAAAATATATATTTAAAAAAAAATAAAAAAAAAAATAAAAAAATAAAAATCTGAAATGAAAATTATAGCAATAATTTCCCCAGAAGAAACTCCTTTAAATAGTGTAGCAACAGAATGTACAGTGTTAAGGAATAGCTCAAGTTGTTGTAAAATTTATCTATATTCCAGAAACAAAAGACTCTTTAGGCCAGTTTCAGTATTGAATATAAACATCAAACTTGCACAAAGTGACCTCTAGCTGTAGCTTAAAATAGTTGGCATTTACTTCCCCATTATCATGTATGATATTAGCAAGCATAACACAACTATTGTTGACTGAAAACAAACGCTTGCGTATTTAGAGAAAATAGAAATTATAAAGTTTTACTTTGAGTAGACTTTACAAACTACATTTTGGGCTTCCAATTTTTAAGGTTTTTTTTTTTTTTTTTTTTTTTTTTTTGTGTGTGTGTGTGTGTGTGTGTGTGTGTGTGTGTTTTAAAGGAAAACAAAAGATAATTCAGTATTCCAAAAACAGTGTCCCACATTACCTATTGTCTTTACAACACACTACTAATGGAAAAAAGTAAATTTGTGTAAGAAAGTCTTAAGTAAGGGATAATAACTGCTTTAACTACTTATGAACTTGCTACTTCCCTAAAGTATATCTTAATTTATTTTAGTTGAATTCCTCAAGCAAGTCACTTATAAAAGCATTAGTTGTAAAATGACCACAATCCCATTGTTATAAAATTAAAAATAAGTGGGGCACTGACACACAGGATATTTTCAAATCATACAGAAATGCACAAGGAGAAAAAGCCATGTAGGGCAACTGTTTAATTTTTTTAATTAAAATTTAAAATCAATATAAATTTGAATTAGACAACATACACACTTAGAACTAAGTCACAATTAAGGAAAACTCAAACACTTAAAAATTTTACATGTTGTATGTTTCAAGTATGTGGGCTATATATATCATTAGTTACAGGTCTGAATAACAATCTTATTCACAATGAAAACTATAATGAAATATATGAGTGAAAACAAGGCTCTGAACAACTGAAGAAGGCTAAAACTTAAATTGCTCATTTAGCTAAGTTGTTCTTAACATTAAGGAAATAAACATCTTTTTAAAAATTCCTATCTGTTGAATGTAAATAAGGAACTACCTTGACTTCTAAAACTCATAAATAGAAGGAATGAAAAAGAGAACATCTTATGAAAAATAATGACAGCAACAGTGGGAATTTTGGTGAAAGATTCTTTTAAACTCTAAGGATAAAGGAATTGAGGAAAAATATTCAGGTACAGAAAAAAAAATTTCATAGGAATAGCCATCGGGCAAAAAGAAAGGCTCAAAGCCTTTTGGAGAATTAATACTATTTAAAACACATTTCTCTGTACTGCATATAAAATATTTTTTGTCTGTTTGGAATCTTATCTTTTTCCATATTTCATAAGATAGGTCATTTTAAAATGAAGTAAAGCTAATGGTTTGACACATTATCTAGAATAAGAACAGCAAAAAAATTATCATAAATTGTTTTTGAGTTTCACTATAAGCAGTCACAAATTCATGGCCTATAAGAATATTTGCCAAAATGAAATATATATGTAAACTCTCTCTCTAAAAAAAAAGAAAAAGAAATTCATTATGTTTTTAGAATGTTTTAACTTTCTGCTAGTGACAATAAGTATTGTTCTAAGAAACAATAACCATCTACTGATTGAACCTTATTTCTACTAAATGTTCCTGACTCTTTGGTGAAACAAAGTATGTTATTGTTTAAAAGGTTCTGAGCTGTTCTTCAATTATCTGACTGAATCTACAGCCTAAAACAAATATTTACCTTAAACCCACAATTTAAAAACACCACACACAGCTAAAACACAAATCATGCAGTGGCTTACCTAAGAGAAGGAGGTATATTTTGCACTGAAAGACCCCAACGGTACTGCTGAAGGGCTCCATGAAAGCATCCTGCCCCATGTATACGGTGCCCTGTTCCTAGTGGCAACTTGGTTCATGGACCAGCAGCTGCTGTTTATTTGCTAGGGAAATTAGCAGTGAGGTAACAGACCCTATCCTGCCTCTCGCGTCTGCGATTTGAATACAGAATGAATGTGTATACAAAGGACACAGGGAGTGGGAACACCTGTTACATGTTCTGCAAGAATATTGGCTTATGAACAGCTTCTTAGCAATTATCAGTAATTGTCAATTTATTTGATAAATTGTCCTTAGTTATTAGTAATCACATGAAGGAAAACACCCTTTTTGGTGACTTTCTTGAAAAACAGTATGCCTTCATAATGAGAGCATGTTGTGAAATTGCCTGAAAAACAAAAAGCTTCTTTCCTATCATGCAAAACGATGCTATTATTTTGAAAAATGAAAATTTTTCTTTGAAAATGGAAGTATTTCATAGACCTGCTAAACAGTCACAGATCATCATGAAGTCACGAAATAACATAAAAGTTATACCAAAGAATCAAGAAGGGGCACTTGAATGTCTTTAGAAATGTAGTATTTCATATGATACATTTCTGCTATGATCTGGTTGAAACTATAGATTCATGTTATTTTTAAAAACAAGCCACAGGTGTGTTTCCAAGTAACACTGGATTATGGGCTGGTATAGTTATAATGTAAAAAAAAAAAAAAATCCTCAGCCAACAGATAATATCTGAGGCCACATTTTCACCGCTGAAGCATAGAGCAAGTGAACCAATGGTCTGGAGAGCTGACCACCGCTGTGGTGTCTGGGCCCCAGCTTTTCAGCCCGGCCTCGTCACTGCCATGGCAGCAGGCAGTCTGAACATTTCCGCTTAATTTACTAAGTTATAAGTTAACCCTCATTTCACTTCTTGCAAGAAAGCTCTAGTCCAAGCCTTCCACTATATAAAATAAAAAGTATATAACCATATTGCCATCAAATGGAACAAAATTCCTCGCATAAATTATTTTTCACAATAAAGGCTCCCTGAAGATGTTCAGAGCTACTAATAGGAAAGGAAGACTATTCCTCAGGCATAATTAAAGGTTGAAATAAAAGAGATGAGAGTTATTTTGGAATCCAAGTTTGGAAACACTTTTTGCGTTAAGGCTCCCAGCGTTTCCAGGAGTGCCTCTTTCGGCGAAGAGAGTGAGCACCGGTGGGACTCCGGCAGCCTCTTTGGGGGTCACTTGATGACCTCTCCACGCTTCAGAAAAATGACAAAAGCCCCCGGTAATTACTGTACCACAACTGTCTCTGTGCGTGTACATGTTACTGTAGCACTTATCTTCTTAACCTCAATTTTATTGCATGTTTATTTTCCCCCGAATACAGATCAGTCTTATTTATTTATGAATCCTTAGCACCTAGCAGAGTGCTTAAGTAGTATTTTTGTTAAGTTGTTCCCTCAGAAATAAACCCCAAATGCTCTTTCGCCCATGTCTTCTGATTCTCAGTTCTTGCTTAAGAAATGTATATAAATTTTAATATTGGATTGCAAAAAATACAATATGGAAGTTCTATAGATTTCACATGGACTATACCTTATAGGCTTTAAATCAATATTAACCTGCAATTGCTTTGTTAAATAAGCTCTTTCCAGTTTCAAACCCAGTGCTGGCTCAGGAAGAAGTTCTTTGGTCCTACAAAAATGAGAAAAATAAAGACAATGTAGTGAGTTTTTCCTAATGTTAAATTTACTTGATTTAAAGGATTAATTTTTACTGTTGTTTTTGTAGTTGTGCTAATTTCTTTTGGGTTATATTTAAAAATATCTGTTATTTTCCTGACATAGAAAGTAAATTATAAGTATTACCAATAAATAAGTAATTGTCAAATAAATGCCAAAATTAATCATAGTTGTGATCATTCCACATCATAGCAAATATTAAAAAATAACAATACCTGTATGACATAACTTCATAAAATGCTACCTGGTGTGACTATGACAGAGCGCCCTCTAGCAGCAGGAGTAATATCTGAATTCAGGTTGTTTACCCAGGAAGCCTTACAGGTAATGTTAACATACAACTGCAACTGTTGTAAATTTCTACATGACTGTTAAAAATGGGTTAAAGTGCTTTGTAAGAAATGTTCCACCACCAAAATCTCACATTTCATTTGTAACCCATTGATTCTGCTCCTCCATTCTATTCAGGAGCCTATTTATTGATCTCAGTTATATGCGCATTTACAATGAAAAAACTGATGAATCTAAAGCAATCAGTATCCATGATGATTACATTCCAAGCAATGAATGCAAGAAGCCACTGGGGGTAGTGTGTGTGTGTGTGTGTGTGTGTGTGTGTGTGTGTGTAAGAGAGAGAGAAAAAGGGGGTTAGGGGACAGATGGTGTTTGGTGGGAAGATCTTAATCAATTTTAAGTCTGATCTTGCTTTATAAAGCAGTCTGTTACATTCATTCCAAACATACACATTCTTTATTTACTAGTAGCATATGAGTATTTTGCAATGGGAACAATTGGGAGGGAGAGGTAGTGAAATGACCAGTTAATGTAGAACAGTGGGGACGAGGAAGAACTGGGGAAAAAGCAGCACTGTCCTATGTTACAACTAGATCCTAGATCCTAGATCCTAGGACAGTTTACAGGGAAGAGCTGGCTGCTGGAGGAGGCCCTCATCCTCACCCATGCCTGTGCTGGTGTTCACTTCTCTACAGTTATGTCTACAAGGCTGCCTCCCAGAAGCCTAGGTATACTGATCACTTCGCAGCAATGTCATGCTTCCTGGGTCCCTCTCCAGGTCCCTGTTCTATCGTCAGCAAGCTTCCGGTTTTCTACTCCTGCTTGCTTAGGGAGTGTCGTTACACATCATAAAGAGGTCACTTCTTTCCACTGCTTTGATGTTTAGAGGACGATTAGAAATGTATCTTCTTAATCAAATCAAGAACTCAGCTTTAATTTAAGCTTCTAGAGGCTCCTCTCATTTGGACCATCATAAATTTATCCTTATCCTATTTTACTGCTAATGCTATTGTCTCAAGTCAGATCCAATTAGCTGTTAAACCTGATGTTCCAATCTGTAGAAACGGGGTGAGCACTTCTTTATAAAATTACTATCTCACACTCTGACTGTGATCTTGCCTCTATAAGGGCTGTTGGACATAAGCAACACAATGTTCAGTTTGTCAAATGGTATAATTAATGTAAAACTGAAATGTATTGTTATCTGTCTACTGGATCCCCCCTGGTGCTTGCATATTAACATCAGAGTGAATTTCATTATTTTTCTGAGTTTATTATGATGATGTTCAGAACACTTCATCTTTTTCATGCATTCAAACTAGAACATCATTCTTTTACTTTCCAAATTGTTCTCTCAGAGATTATGTACTCTCAAGGTCATATTAAATCCTAGAGAAAGGAATAAAGCCTGTTTTTACGTAATTAATTCAGTTTGCTTATGCATGTTTGCTCAGTCTACATGGATTTCCTTTTTATTCTCCTTATTCCATTTTTGGTGACATCTCTTTGAAAAGAAATTAGCCCAAAGAAAGAACATATAAACACAAGCATATCAAAGTAAGTGTGCTTGAATACTAATGTAGACGAACCCTCCCTCTCCACTTAGTATCATTGTTTACCAAGTAAATCATGCAAACAGCTCTCAGTTTTGAAGTTTCAATATATTTTCAAGAATACAGTGTTTCCCCGAAAATAAGACATCCTCCGAAAATAAGACCTACTTACAGGTTTCCTTCTGAGTGAAATATAAGGCATTCCCCCGAAAATAAGGCCCCCCCTAGGCTAAACATGAGAGATTTGGTCCACTGATTCTGAAAGAAATGGAGTCACAAGAAATTCACCAGGAAATTCAGGAATTGGATTGTTATGATGATGTTCCAGAAGATGATGACATGATTGTCATTGAATAAATGAGTAAATTCTTGATACTGTAGGATTCACAGTTTGTCTGGTTTGTGTTGACAACTACCGTACTACCGTACCGTATACAGGTAATAAATTTCCTTTATTTTCATTTAACAATAAATATGTACCGTATTCTTCTTCATGGAAAAATAAGACATCCCCTGAAAATAAGACCTAGCGCATCTTTGGGAGCAAAAATTAAAATAAGACACCGTCTTATTTTTGGGGAAACAGGGTATCATCCAGCAAGCTTTCCTTGAGGCTTGTTGGCAGGCCATCCATACTTTCCACTACTATGCTCTGGCCCAGTGGTCAGCAAACCATGTGAGCCACATGCGGCTCTTAGGCTCCTTGTGTGTGGCTCTTCCACAAAATACCACGTATGGGCATGCATGTACAGTGTGATTGAAACTTCGTGACCCATGCGCAGAAGTTGGTTTTCGGCTCTCAAAAGAAATTTTAATCATTGTACTGTTGATATTTGGCTCTGTTGACTAATGAGTTTGCCGACCACTGCTCTGGCTTACCACTAACAGCCTTCAGGCAAGTGTATATATATATTTGAAAAGTGGAAATTACATAACATGCTTTCACCTTTTTAAAAATGCTCTCTCAGCCTGTAAAAGGTTTTTTGTTTGTTTGTTTTGTTTTTGCAGTTAAAATGCATTATGTATGGCTTACGTAATTATTTTCTATAGTGTTAGGGTATGTTGAATTAGAAAATATAATTTAGATAGCAGCACTGATTTACTTTTACATTTTTTTCAATATTACAGTCACAATGTTTGAGCTTTCAGAAGTCTAAGTTCACTTCTTTTTAATTTATAAGAAATGAAATGTGCAGTATTAGAGTAAAACAAGGTCTTAAAAGCTTTTTTGCCTTTTCAAGATCAAATAGATACAGAATATACTCATTTCCCCACATTTAGCTTATGGGGGAGAAAAACCCCCACACTGAATAAAAAAACTTTTTTATTTTATTTGGATCTGGGTTTGGATCTGCATTCTAGTCCTGGATCAATCTCTAATAAAATGTGTGCCCTCAACAGCTTATGTGGATAAATTTTCCCATCTCATAAAGAATGGATTTGAAAGATGAGAGCTGGCTGCCTATATGAATAACTGACTTTTTAAAACACAGAATCCAAAAGAAATCAATAACAAGAACAACAGCACAGACTGTTTATATTCTCAGATGAATATAAACATTCAGGCT